GTCTACGGTGTCCTTCATCCTGTTTACCAATACCCTGTTGAAGACTTTTCCTGGTATTTAGAGATGAGTGATTCCCCTGTAGGTATCACATTTGCTGAGATCGCCTTTCTTTGGTATTTTGACTAGAAGTCCTTCTTTCCAGTCTTTCTCCCAGTCCGTGTCGTCCCACGATCTCTTCATATCCGATGTCGTCCATTCCAACCTTGACATTTAAATATCCCACCAGAATGGTCAGGTCCTTTGTCGGGCACTTCTCGACGATTGACTGCAGCCTATCGTAGAATTGATCCTTAGCGTCTTCACTGTAGTCGTTGGTAGGCGCGTAGCATTGGATGACGTTCATTGTAATGCCCTTTTTCTTTGTTTTGAAGGAGGCTTTGATGATTGTTGGTCCATGAGATTCCCATCCTATAAGTGCATTTTTGTGCTTGTTTGGACAGCATCAATGCTACTCTTTGTGTATGCGGGGCATTTTCTTCTTCATAGACGGAGTATAACAACAGCTCCCCTGAAGCTAGTCGTTGTTGTCCAACTTGCGTCCAATGTGTTTCACTGATCCCAAGCACCTCTAAATTGTATCCCCTCATTTCTGCAGCAATTTAGAAAACTCTCCCAGCCCTCCACATTGTGCGAGCATTCCATGTACCTAAATAAGTGGTTGCTCTGGTTGTCAGAAGGAGCATCGGCCTCGTGACTTCCGAAGGAACTCGGCTTTCATCATGAGGCGTTATAGTTCTTCTAAACGAAGACCTTCTGATACTCAGGGAAAATTTTAAATGGTTTGAATGATTTTTTCTGGTTAACGTTTTTTTAGAGGGTTAGTTTTCTACGGGATGGGGTCGCTTACCCCATGTCCAACCCTCCTCCTTTATCCGGGCTTGGGACCGACAGTAGCCTCTCGAAAGGGACTCTGGGCGGAGTTGCAATTTACCAGAAGACCACCCAAATGTCGTTTTAACAATAATTATAACAATTTTAGAAACAAACCTTCAATTTAGTAGGTTCCCGGAGCGAAAATTCTTAAATACCAAACCAAAGACAAAGAGAAACTACAATGTCCGAAAATAATGATCTAAGCAAACAAGTTCAGAGGTTGAGTAAAACAAATACATCCAAAAACACAGTGAAATTAATAATATTCAATATATAGTTTTTTTAATCAGCTGGATGTCACCATTTCTGCCGTAACACTCTCGACCAAAAGAACCTTGGTTCTTTTCAAAGACGAATAAATAGGCAACAAGAATCCAAGTATATATATTGCAAGCAATCAACAACAAACATTCAATATGCCAAAAATCTTGTGACCCCTAGGACTTACATCAGGACGCCTAGAAATCCGAGTCGCTATTTAACATCTACAGCTTCAAAAAGCAGTTTTCAAATATCTGTTACTAAGATTCCCTGGCTTGTTCTCAACTCCGTCGGTCTTAATCTGTCCTTGTTAGGCATCACTTTCCTACCAGATCTAATAGCCATTTACCTTTCTCCAGGAAATCAGGACATGTCGCCACCAAATCCCTCTCTCTTATATTCCTCTCTGGTTGAGTCCATTTTTGTCTACGTTGCAACAGAAAAACATATTCCTTAGACAAACGTCTCCGGAATAATTGTGCCAAATAATTATCTTGCTTACATCTCTCAGAATACCTGTCATTAGATCGAGTATTTCTGAGACCTGTTACATTCTCTCTCAACCATAACATATGCTGCCCAATAATCGCGGTAACATGTGCTTTGAAAAGGGACACAGGATGATGATTACCATCATTATTACTTACGCCTTCGATTAAAAGTTCAGATGGTAGAGTGTCTATGAATCATTGCAATTTCTTGAAAATAAACTGCATTGCTCGCTTACTTACTTATCTACGACAGTTACCTTTAGTGAACGAGCATAAGTCGAACACTAGCATTCTCCATCCAAATCTGTCCTGGGTGTTTCTTCTTGTTATTAATTCTCCTTATGTCTGTTTTCAATTCACGGCTCAGTGTATACTTTCGTTTTCAACGTTTTCATTCCCCTTCAGGATTCCAAGTTAGCGCTTACCTCATAATGTAGTTAAATGATTTCAGTGGTGCATGTCCTATACACTTACACAGTTTCTCCAATTTCCTCCAACTTGTAGCTGGTTTGTTCTGTCCCACAGCAGATTGTCGCTGATGGTATCCGGTCAACGAATATTGAATATCTTGCTTAAAAACTGTTTATAAATACCGTACATTTTTGATGTTGATTCTGGTTGTTCTTCAAGTTTCAGCGCTGTATAGTAGGACTGTCTTGACGTTCTCATTGAGAATTCTGATTTTGATATTAGCTGACGGTTTTCTGAGCTCCGTATGCTCTAGCTTTGCTAATCCATGACCTAACATCTGCATCAAATCCTCTACGTCAATCGATGATGCTACTCATCAGGCACGTGAAAGTTTCCACCTCTTTCAGAGTTTTTACCTCAAGTGCGATTGGTTTGGTGTTCTCAATGTTGAATTTCAGGATCTTCCTTACTCTTGCGAATGTTTTGACCTGCCACTTAAGAAGCTGTTGCTACGCTGGCTGACTTCGTCTGCATTTGTTCGTGTGCAGGGGATGGTAGAGCTGGGTTACCTACTAAGTCCAAATCATCTGCATGCATGCAAGCTGTCCATTGTATTCTGTGCCTCCCCTCAGGTTCAGAGGTTTTCATAATCCAGTCAACTACTAGAAAACAAGAGAAAAGGAGCGCAGCAAGCCTTGTCTGACACCAATCCTTACTTGGAATGCGTCTGTCAACTATCCGCCATGCACGACTTTGCAGTCTTGTCTACCGTACGAAATCCGTATGATGTTGACCATCTACTGAAGCACACCGGTGTCGAAGGAGGCTTTATAAGGTTATCCTGTCTACAGTGTCAAGAGCTTTCTGATTATCATGAAAGTTGATATAAAGTGACGTCAGTCAATCAGTCAGTAAAAACGTAGGACTTCAGTTTGAGTTGGCGTGCCACATTAGCAAAGAGATGCAGTTGTCGATTCAAATCCCGTAGTGGTAGAGGTAGTAAGAGTATAAGCAGCAATCAGAAGGCGTAGGGTTTGCAGATGTTCGTAGATTTCTTTCGAAATACTCCTATACCATAAAACACCGCACGTCAGGGCAGTCGATGGTTGGGCGTACGTAACACGTGTCCCAGCCATCTCAAATGATGAAGTTTCACTACTTCACCGATTGATTTGCCATCCTTACCTAGTACCCGTTTCTTAACAACTGCACTACTTACTCGGTGGTCCCAGGATATACGAGCAATGTTTCGAAGACTTTTATGATCAAATACTAGTAACATACGAATATCTTCTACTCTTACTGGCCATGTTTCACTGCCATAAATTAGGACGGGACGAACTGCTATATAGTGACTATTTTCTTTAAATTGATTGTTGAAAAGTGATGTGAAGTGTTGCGGCCGACCCTTACGAAATCCAGCCTGCTGAAATTGAAGGCAAATTTTTCATCTAGTTCAACAAAACTCTATTGCAAACTTTTCCTGGTACAAATAGCAGTGAGATTCCTTTTTAGTTCTCAGATCTCCTTTCTCTAGTATTTTGATGAGATATCCTTTTCAGTTTGATGGTACTTGTTTCTCCTTCCAAATCTTTTCGAAGAGAATGTGAAGCATCATCGCAGTTTCTTTTATGTCTGACTTTAATGCTTCAGATGGTATGTTGTCTGGTTCTTCTGATTTCCTACTCCTATTTTGTCTGATGGCTATAATGATTTGTTCGATCGTTGGTGGAGTGACATCTATAGGAAGGTCTGTGTGTGCTGCCTCAAAATCTGGTGGGTTCAGTGGAGCTGGTTTATTCAAGACCACTTCGAAGTGCTTTGCCCACCTATCCCACTGTTCTTGGATCTCAGTGATTGACTTACCTTATTTGTCCTTGACTGATCGCTCTAGTTTACTATATTTCTCTTTCAGTTTCTTCGTTGCATGGTATAGTCGTCTCATACTTTCTTCTCTGTTAGCTTTTTCATCTGGCATTACGTGATCTTCCACGTATTTCTGCTTGTTGACTCTAGTGCACTTCTTCACTAGCTTGTTTGCTTCTGTGCGTTCGGTCTGTGCCTTGGTTTCTTCTGTTTTTGTTCGACTGTTGTTGGTTGCTATCTACCTGTTCGTCTTTTCTCAAGTCGTAGTCAGGTTCCGGATAAAAATCTACCACTTTCTCACAGCGGCCCGACTGGTCGTCCCGATTTTTATATAATCCGAGCATTCAATTTACTTATGTTAATTATTGCTCGGGTTGTTAGAAGAGGCATCAGCTTCGTGAGTTCCAAAGTATCTCAGCTTTCACCATGAGGCATTATGATTCTTCTGAAAAAAGATTCGTTAAGTGTCAGGGCAGAGTTTAAATAGCGTAAACTATTTATTGCGGTTAGCGTTTTTTTAGCAGGGTTATTTTTTACGTGATGGGGTTGCTGACCACATGCCCAACCCTACTCATTTACTCGGCAGCAACTCTAGAAGAGTTAAAGACGGAGTTAACTTTGTTCGCTACCAAGCAGTTAATTTCAAGAGTCATGCTGCTAGTTATTCTGGCATTTAACCCAGTAAATACGCTATGAGCTTCTAATTTTTCTCTCAATATATTGGTAGACCAATAAGTATGAATGAGATCACTAGCTGATAGTTTCTGTACAGTACTGACTGGGTTAGAAGCGTAATTTCCGAATACTAAGCGATAAAAATCCTCGTCGTAGGTCAACACAAAATTACAATAGAGAAATATACTTTGTACCACAAAGGGTTTGTATTTATGATGCTTTCCAATGTACAATTACTCTAAAACAAATGTGATATTTTCACTAAGAAGAAAGATAGCATACTTGAGATTATTTTAAACACCTTCTAGGCAAACAGACTACTTAATTATGTGAACACTATAAACTCATTCAGTATAAAAAATACCAACCAACACTGTGAACTTCAAATACGGAATGCTCCCTTGAACAAAGCCACTCAAGGTCGTGGGGACAGATTTGACCTGGGTTCATCCTTTTTTATCTTGTGTCTATTCGAAACCTCATGATATCAGATTCTGGTCCCGATTATCAGATTGTCTTAACCTCACGTTTGTGTTATTTTCTATTTGTTGTTGATTTCTTTCGTTACTAAGTACAGATGCAATAAGTGTGTTCGTAGGAACTGTTTTCTTCCGATTAGTTGTTATTCCTTCAATCTGCCTACCATCTAGTAGATTTCGACAATCGCAGTTTCAAAATATCCCTTGGAATTATATCTGGGGTCTGAGAGGATCTTGGATATGTTTCTAAGGTGTATACGTATACATCTTAGAAGCATATATTTTAATTAATGGGGGCATACATACTACGTAGTATGTAACGTACGTTACTCCTTTGTAGAAACATTTCAATATCGCTTATACTACCATATCCTGGGGCGGATTCACAACTAGCTGGTATCGAGCAAAAGAGCTAGCGTAAATTTGTTGACGCTAAACTTTGCATGGTTATTTTTTGTGACAGGTCCACTTGGCTATTATTTTAATCTACGGCTTACAAGTTGCCGAATAAAGCTATGAGTTTGTGTGAGTTTTGATTAGCGGTAATTATATCCCTCTCCACCTGTTCCAGGATAAGCTGTCTTTTCTACTCATGTGCACTTTATCGGAATAGGCATCCAGACAACTCAGAATGATAAGGATGAGACATTATATTGCAGTCCATTTATACCACAGGTCTATAAAATGCAGTTATCTGACGCTAAAATGATCTTGCTCATCTCTTTTGGAGACATCTTTGCTTTAAAGCACCAATGGGTAGGTATTCTACGGAAAGGCTGTTAATTAATGGTCACATAGTAGAGTGCGTTCAGTTGTTTTAGTGGTTAAATGATAGGTAATTAACACAGTCAAACTTCTTTCATATAGCTGTAGTATATTCAATACAAATTATCTGAAATCTACTTACCTAGTCCTCCATTTGTTGCTTTATTTGTAGTTGACGATGGCTAACTTAGATGTTAGTGAGCTTGGTATATCGAAGAATTTACTCCAAATGAATTTTATGCGACGAACTCTCGTAGCCAAGGAGAAAGCTACTAATCAAAGTGTCCCAGACATCCTTCCTAATTCACAAGAGTATGGATTTAAACTCCCTTCTTCTATAGAAAAGCGTATCAACAAAAGAGCTACCATCCTTAAGTCGAAATATCGTTATCAGTTTGTTAAAAGTATTTTTAAGCTCTACAATGTATCACCTGGGTTTCGAGAAAGTTTTGGTGGCTTTAATCCTCCTACTAACGCTGACGCCATTCCTCAATCTCTGGTTAATAACTTACCCGATTCTCGTTTGCCCAATCGAGACAACTCTGTATGTGAATATTCTCAATCATTTGAAGGCCGGGCATCGAAAACAAGTATCCGATTCAAAAGATTTGAAGGTAATTCTTGTAAATGGTTTGTTTCAACATGCTATACACTGATTTGCCAAGCATTTAAGTCAAAGTTATGTGAATAATCCAATGTTTTCATTTTATTTCTGTCTTTTATTGGAAGAGGAACTCTGTAATATTGTTTCATATGATGAAATATACTTTCACCATATTAGCATCCATTAGTACACAACAACCACAGTGTAAGTAATCATACGATTCAATAACTAGAAAAGTTAGCGGCTACCATGTATCGTCCCTTCTTTCATATAAGTGAGACAGGTAGTAATTCTACTCCAAGTCGTAATCAGTACACCTTTCGTTTATAACTTGGCTGTGATGTTACTTTTTGTAGTAAATATAATTCTCCTGTTATTACCAGGTTTGTGATAATAAATATAAACTAACTGTAAAACGATGACAGGTTATATCAGTATAACAATTTTGGATGTAATAAAAATTAGCCATGACTATGATACGTTCGAAAGTATCTTTCTTCACGGATTCAAACTAGAAAGTGTGGAATAGCTTGAGAGTTTTTCGTGGCACCGCATCCCCAATAACATAAGTTCAGATATCAACCTCCGAATTATGTGATGACCAAACTATTTTCGATTTCATGGGTTGGAGTAGTTCATTTGTTTGTTCAACAGACTCGATGGAGCTGCCTAAATGAACTCTTTTTAGTCTGTTTACACTAAGGGTGTCATCACTAGCTCTTATACATAAGTACAATTGGCACATTAATCCTTGCCTGGTCAGTGAGTGACACGACATTTAAAAACAGAGTTGAATTTACTTGTCGAAAGCTACAAACATGTGTGCATTTAAAGTTGCTATTATAAGAACGGTGCTCCCCCGATTTTAGCTCTTACTAAGGCCATTTGAAGAATATCATGGGATACTATTGTTTAATAAATTCAAGATTTTTGGGCTTGTTATCCAGTTTTTACAACTAAAAGTATCTTCGATTTATTAAATTCGTGTATCATTAAAGAGCTTTATGTTTTCTTTTTACCTCAGAACACAAACCATCGAAGTTCAAAAACCCAAAACATCGAAGAGAAAAAAAGAAAAAGCTGTAATTGAAAATTATTTGCCTTATGTACGAAAGTATTCAAATAGTTTTGTGTTTTGTTCTAATATCGCGATTTTGAATTAGTTGGTCACTCAGTTGCGAAGTAAAATCCGGTACTTATGCACATCGATTTAGGTTGCCATACTCCATTAGCACAAGGAAATGAAGTTGTTAGGTCGAATATCAGAGCAATAGAAGTAGTAACAGTATCAGTGGTGATAGAAAAGATTAGGCATCAAAGATACATTTCGAGAAGATATAAATTATTGAACTATACGCAAAAAAGTTATGAGGGTTTACAAGCTCAGAATTCAAGGTAAGACGACGAATAGATGCATCTTTGTCATCTTAAATTCTTCTGTTCAAAGTTCTGTCAGCTGCAACGTAGGACCTGGCACATATATGCATCGGCCGAAGTCGCTACACCTCATAAGTACAACAAGACGAACACCAAATTAATAAAGTAGTTACTTCAGTTCTAGTAATATATGAAAGAAAGATTGTGTATAAGGATAATAGTATATGAAGAAAGAATTAGCTCCCAGAAATAAAGGTACAAAGCAATTTTAGTTTCACGGTTTAAGGATAGACAAAGAGTGTATACACCTACGCCATTGTGATCGATTCTGAGCCATGTCACCTATAGTCTCCATCCATTAGTTACAGTAATCACGCGGATCTAAACCATGTGGTCTACACTTACTAACATGACTCATTCCAGTTGTCAGTGACCTCATGAACTGATGCCATGTTTCGGTTTGGCCGTCCCTATCTTTCTTCCAGCCTACTTTACTTGTAATGACGAAAACATTTTATAGACAGTCACAATACGCCATTCACTCTAATCACACGCTGGGACACACGAATAGGCCTTGCTAAATATTTACATTCTAAATATTTTGTTCCATGTTTCTCAGTAGAAGCACGACCATAGAAATGAAATACTGCTGTGTATAATTTAGTTAGATGTGAGGATAAAAGTGCATTATTATGAAGATCAAAAAAGTTTTAGGTTGAGAAAGTTAGTACTTAGCCAAACCTCATCCTGGAAGGCTGCTTAAAGCCCCCTAGAAAACCCCGAAAACCACACACGGAAGAATGATAAGTTACGCCTCATCACAATACCAGTGGAGTCATTTTTTGTTTACTTAAACATTACGGTTTGATGCCAATGAAGAGAAGTCCGTAAAGTTGCTTTTCACTCCCTTAGTATTGTGAAATACACACAACTAATCCATAAAAACGTTTTCTTTCAACTTGACAAATTCCTCGAATTTAGCTACAGGTTACTTACTTACGCCTGTTACTCCTAATGGAGCATAGGCCGCCGACCAGCACTCTCCAACCCACTATGTCCTGGGCCTTCTTTTCTAGTTCCATCCAATTCTTGTTCATTTTTCTCATGTCTATCTTCATTTCCCGGCGTAATATTTTCTTTGGTCTTCCTCTCCTCCTTCGGCCTTGAGGATTCCATGTGAGGGCTTGTCTTGTGACGCAGTTCGGTGCTTTTCTCAATGTGTGTCCTATCCACTTCCAGAGCTTCTTCCTGTTTTCTTCCACCACTAAGATCTGATTTGTTCTCTCCCATAGTAGGTTGTTGCTAATAGTGTCCGGCCAACGGATCTGAAGTATTTTGCGTAGACAACTGTTAATAAACACCTGTATCTTCTGGATAATGGCTTTCGTGGTTTTCCAGGTTTCGGCCCCATACAGTAGAACTGTCTTAACATTTGTATTGAAAATTCTGACTTTGGTGTTGGTTGCCAATTGTCTTGAGTTCCAGATGTTCTTCAGTTGTAAATATGCTGCTCTTGCTTTGCCGATCCGTGCTTTCACATCTGCATCAGATCCACCGTGTTCATCGATGATGTTTTCCAAATATTTAAAGGTTTGTGCATCTTCCGAATCTCCGTAAATTGTGATTGGATTGGTGCGTGCTGTGTTGTATCGGAGAATCTTGCTTTTCCCTTTGTGTATATTGAGACCTATTGCTGCTGAGGCTTCTGCCACACTGGTTGTCTTCTGCAATTGTTGTTGCGTTTGCAATAGAAGAGCCAGATCATCTGCGAAGTCTAGATCATCCAGTTGCATCCTAGATGTCCATTGTATCCCGTGCTTCCCTTCGGATGTTGACGTCTTCATGATCCAGTCGATCAGCAGGAGAAAGATAAAGGGTGGTAGTAAGCAACCTTGCCTGACACCGGTCTTTACTTCGAAGGAGTTTGTCAACTGTCCTCCATGCATCGGTTCAAGCTACAGATTAGCCAACAGTAATTACAAATCCCTTACCACACAAATAATCTCAAAATGATAGATCTAATGTAGGTTGAGGGTATGTATACGGTTTACCCCGTTGTTCACAAGAACGATTTGTCAAATTTCTTCGATATCTTTTGGTTTGCAAATTAGCAAGGTATTAGGTAGTAATTACTTAGCACATTGTTAGGAGGCGTGGTTATTTTAAACCTTGAGTACCTTTTTCGAGTTTTAGTCTCAGGATTAAGTATATAAATTTGTAACTTATACTGTTCTTTGCTGCTTAACATTAATGGTATTCAAAACTGACATTAACGTCGGTCTACTAGCTTCAACGAAAAAAAAAGTATGAACAGATTTATGCTTTCTGATCGATAGGATATTTGCATTTTCAAGGTCTTTCTATACATACTTGACTCCTAGTTTTCAGAAATCCAATTATAATACATGAACAAAGTATTTCATATATAGGATTCAATTATACCATAGTTTTATTAGTACAATTGTACAGGTAGCTATTTTTGTGTATTGAACACTGGCTTGTCATGTGACAATACCTCTTTATTACGATACAGGTACAACATTATAGTCATTTCAACTCACTCACCTCAGAAACAGAATCTGAATTAACAAACTAAATTCCGTCTTTGAAATAAAGATAAGTGTGTTGTGCTATGTCGCTTATCTAGTTTTTTTCGTAATTCATTGTCCTTGTCATGTTTTCTAACATGCAAATTAGAATACCTTCATTGTCTTTTAAATTCAAGGGCAGCTATACTGTTATTTGAAAATATCATGTGATTCTGGCTATTAAGAAAACTTAAGCGATTGTGTATTTATTGGTCACTTATCGCCTAGTTAAGTTAGAACCAGGTGATTACGCTTCATTCGTGTCCACTGTGTTTCATTCAATCGTTGCCAGATAATTAGTAACGTTAGGTGCAATCAAATCACTGTAGCATGCCTGTTAATGAACGTTTATCAAACATTTTTGTCACGGTGATACTACATTAAAAATTAACTTTGTAAACTATTAAGGTTTGCTTTTCTTAGTTAACATGGTGAGTAACTTTTTTGTTTTGCAGAGATCTGTGATATAATTTTTACAATTACGTAAAAACACGCCATGGGTTCCGATAATTTATACTCATTGTGATTGTTTACCCAGTTTTTTCTTCCAAAAACTGATATGGCACTCGAAGTTCGTCCATCTTTAATATATATATATATATATATATATCCCAGCTAAGCGACGACGTGTAACTACTCTTCTATGATTCTTTGTGCTTAAAATCCTAAATAGTAGTACTCCCACTGTTCTTACTTAGTTGAAACAGATTCGATATTACTTATCCCTAGACTTAGACTTGCTATAAGGTCATTTACCATTATAGTTCTCTTATTATTTTGACCTCATAATTTACTTCATTTAGGATGCGTTTGTTCGTTACATTAATGTTTATTCCATTCCGAAATATGTATAACTGTTAGTGTCGTGTTAAATATGTTCTGGATGCTGAGATATTTTACTACTGTATACATTTGTCTCATAAAGCGATAGACGTTGGGTCAATATAAGTTTCCCCTCTAATAACATTTAATGGTACAGGATATGGTTCCTACAACTAAAGCGACATAATAAACTAAACAAACGTTAGTAATAGAATTGCTTTATAAGGGGATTTTGGAATCCAATCTAACTCAATTCGCAGTTTTGAAAGAAACGTTGATTCCAGCCTATCATCTCTTTCCTAATGAATAAGCTTAATTTAGTCGTTTACTGTATCGGATTCGATCACAAAATATAAATAAGTCGGGCGGAACGAGCAGATTTCTGAGGTAATGAAGAAAAAAATCTAGGAAATTTTATTGTACTAGAAAAATGGAAAGTAATGTTAGCAATGTAAAATATATTGATGTTAAAAAATAAATGTTCTCTGTACATGTGGTGTGAAGCATATTTCTACATTAATTATTAATTATATTCTTGATTAGAATACACTACTGCAATTTGTTTACTGGTGTCTAAGAAAAATTTTGAAAGTATTACATGGGTGGTTCATGTATGGTTGTTAGTTGGATGATTCTAATATACATCTATAAATAATAAGTATGCAATTGAAATTGATCACTGATTAACATATTTTTAATTTTTAAATCTGCAAAAATGCTTTTTTTTAACTTGATGAGTTTTCTCTTCTTATCTTTGGTGTTGTATCTGTAAGTGAACTGAAAATACAATATAATGTTGAGTAAGAAACAGTTTTGATAAATATTTAAAAATTCCAGAAATAATTGACTGATTTAAGTGCCGTTTGTTGATGGATCTGACGAATGGTTTTATTTAGTAAAATGTAGTATTATTTCTTCTCAAAAGTTAATTTTGTTGGATTCATTGCATCTTACTATTAATTTCAGTCTACGAGTTTTCAGGACTAACACTAAGGCTTTCAGCATAGCCATTTTAAGTGTTCCACACATACTTTTCAATTTTTGTGTAAGTTTACACAAGAGAATTACTTGGTAAGAAGATATATATATATATTATTACTAAGTGAGCGATTTCATAAGACTTTATGGGCATGGCGACCCTATCACGTCTTTGCATTGACATTTCCTTATAATGCGCATTTAGTAACCATGACTAGTACCTTGCAAACTGGCCAATAAATGGTCTGTACTGTCTACGATCCCCTTATGTTTTTGAATATTCTATAACAGCAGGATCTGAAGCATGTTTTATTCCGTTTCGCAGTCCTCAGCTGGGGTACACATATGTGTTGGTGAGACTTGTTTCGTTAAAAATTTTCGATGTTTTAATCATATACGTAATGATAAATAACTTTTGTTAGTTACTAGTATTGCTATCGTACATTAATTAGCAATGATTTATATGTTTTGTGTTGTTGATACTCGGGAATGAAGTGACATATTTCTAATTTACAGATTAGGCAAAGAACAAATCTTGAATTTTCCGAATAGCGATTTAAAAAATAATCGTCTTTTGAATGAAGGTGATATAAAGAAATTCATTCAAGGGACTCATATACCAACGGAGATTGATAAGCTTATCCTTGAATATTCACGAAGGCTATATGCGAACAGTTATATCTTACTATGTTTTTCTATCTTATAAAATTCCCGTATGTTTTGGTCTAATCTTAATTACATTTTTCCCGAATCTAATAAATCTGTATTGTTACCATAAAAGAATCTGATTTGCACATACTGCAAATAATTGTTAGACTGATATCACGCCAACTGTTGCTAAATTATTTTTAATCCTTATTTTAATTCTTAGTAATCTGTGTAACTAATGGTAATATATGCTAAAATCTGTGAGAAATGAATTTAATGTGCTGTAAACACTACTTCTGATGGGAATAGAATTCATCTTTGATAAAACATCTAATTTTCATTTTAAATTATTTGAAGGCTTTCTAGTTCTGATGTGATGAAGTTTTATTGAAATACTGTAATGTATTTAACTGCCTATGAAATTGTACTAGTTTATCTTCGATTTATTTCGGTTTTCTATATCTCTTCCTTGTGAAGTCCGATCTGATGGTTATATTGTCATATGAACGTAGTTTATTAATTCCTGTTTGTCTTATTGTATCTTTTCACTTTTAACTTGAACTTCAATTTAAATGGTACACAATCTAGTTTATTTGTTTGCTATCGTCTTAGTGTCGTATAATGTAATAATCCCTAAAAACCTATAGAAGTTGTTTTATAAATTGAGTTTTATTTTAACAAATGCTACCGTTGCAATCTGACATTCATGTTTTTACCTGTTGTGGACTATCTGCCCCCCTCCAAATGCCTTAGTACGGTAGAGGACTGCGAGAGTTGACTCTCCCTCTTGAAATTCTCTCACTTGGCTACACGTATACAGCCACTGCTAGGGAAGTCCTACTCACTGCCTTCTCTCGACAGGACGAAGAGCGAATGTCCGGCGCTTTAGCCGGGTTAGTAGAAACGGAAGATTCACCTAGGCGATTGGAAAACCCTGATTCCAAAACAGTGGTGCACATGTGCTCAAGGATCGTGAGGAAACAAAAGGCGTATGAACCTATTGTTGGTCAACGGCTACCGTGAGACTTCATCTCCTAAAGTTGTTCCACTGCCTTGTGGATTAGACTTTTAGGTCAAAGGCTCGTGGTGTGGCCCCGTAAGAAGACCACTTGCTTCGATTCGGGCACCCGGGCAGTATCCCAGCCCTCACACAAACCAAATGATTCGTGTAGCGCATATATATTTGGTGCCTCCTACCAATGTTTATGCGTTTAAACAAATAAATTTAGCGAAATACATTTGACTTGAATTATTAATCTCACTGTGTTTCAAACGCAGCACTTACCCCTCCATTTGTAGTCTTAAACATGAAATTAGTGATTTTGGATCCACTCATTCTACTTTCTACAATATATTTTAAGAGTATGAGGAATTTCGTATAAATTTGAACAAATAGTTTCACATTACTTGGGCGCCGAGTTAATGTAAGACATTAGGGATAAAACATGTATTTTTAAAATCTCAGCTATTGAATTTTGACTAAGTCCAACGTTTCTCACGGCAATCTTATCAAAGCTTTTTCAAGGAAATATAATCAAACATCAAAATTATCGAATATAAATAGGTACATTGTTCTTTGGTTAACTGTATACTAAACAGATCATTCAATCATGTTATTAATGTTGAATGTAAGAGTTTGCCATAGTGTGTATGAAACATTTGGTGTGTAACGAATAGTGTGTTTAGATAACGGATTGTATATATTTGTAAGTAGATCTGAGAAGAAATTTCATTGATTATATATCGCCTCTGATCGGTGAATGTTTGACTCATATCATCAACAAAAGTCGTCCACTTTCTTCAAAAGTTCACCGATCAGAGGCGATATATAATCAATGTCTCATACACACTATAGCAAACTCTTGCATTCAACATTAATAACATGATTGAATGATCTGTTTAGTATACAGTTAACCAAAGAACAATGTACCTATTTATATTCGATAATTTTGGTGTTTGATTATATTTCCTTGAAAAAGCTTTGATAAGATTGCCGTGAGAAACGTTGAACTTAGTCAAAATTCAATAGCTGAGATTCTGCAAACATATTTCCCCTCAATATTCTAAGTGTTTTGCAGTTTTTATTTATCCTGTTACCAAGTAACTAACGATTAGTAGTAACAATAATATACAGTAATTAATTATCTATGTAAGTTTATGAATAATTCGATAGAATTTAATTACAATAACAAATGCCAGCACTTATGAAATAGTAAATAATAATAAAACTCTTTATCATCTCAATATCTCTGGTAATTCATTTTTGTATTATTGATCAATTAATTAAATGAAACATCTTTATGTACTTTCATTTTGTGGTTGTATAACTTCGGAAAATTTCCAATTTTTATTTGAATCATCCTGATCAATTGGCATGAAACAATAAAACTAAATTTTAAAAAAATTAAAGTAAAAGGTGTTAATGGCAAAACCAAATTGAAAATTGTATGGAAACAACAAAAAATAGATTTTTAATATGAACTGTTTATGAACAGTACTGAACTGAATTTATAAATTCGTTGTTAAGCAACAACTAAGCTGATAGTTAAAGCTAAGGCCTAAATCTCTGGACAAGATAAGTTTAAATCTCATGGGGACTATCGATATCCTAGAACTTCAATCATTGTCTTCCTGATGAGTACCGGCTAGAACAAAAGCTTGGTTCAGAGCTCATATTTGATTGCTTACAATAATCTAACGTCAAATTATTAACATGTATACAGTGAGTTACAATAACAATAATAATAATTCCACCAAGGCAACTGTTCTGTTGTTAATTATGTATATTCTAGCGTCCTTAAATGTAAGGGAATTACACTTAATATTAACAGCCAGACAGACAATTGAAATTTTCAGGCATGAAATACGATAAACTTTGATCTGATTAGGTGCTGTAAATGACTACCACGAGTGGTTTTCATGATGACAAAAATATACAAACTTTTCTGATACTTCCCAACTATATTTATCTTATTAATAGATGTTCCATTTGTTGTAGAAACGGGTAGTTGAGTCACAATTACGTAGATTTTTGTGAATCCCTTGGTAATTTTCATGTCAGCGTCTTGCGAAAATAAGTAAATTTAAGAGGTTTTAATCTCGTTAGTAATATCTTTATTTTAAATGTAACTAAATGAATCACTGGTTACTGAATATTGGATTATTTAATGTGTAATATCCCTTTTTAGGATGTTTTGTAAATAAGAAATTCGGTATTAGACATTTTTTTCAAACTTATTTCATAAAGAATAATTTAGTTCCATATAATTTAGGAATTATTTATGATAATAAACATCCAAAGTACACTTAAATTTTAGTATAAATTGATAACATAAATAACAGGAACCACAAAACTACTTTCGTACATAAATATTAACAACTATTTGTGTTTACTAAACCAATTTAGCTAATAAAAATAAGGTGACCTACTCATACATCAAAGGCTTTAATCTTATTATATCAACTACCGAATTCGATTATTTAGGATGCATTTCATTATAACTAAAAGTGCATATTTTATGTGAAGTTTTTAGAACTTCATTCCATTTTTGTAAAATAGATATCTGAAAGTTCAGTATTCAACAATTAAAAAAACTTAGGTTATAGAGAAATTCGCTTTATTTGTGGCAAATGTATTGAAAACCAATTTCTAAAGTTTGCACAACAAACCACACTGCAATAATAATTACTTACTGGACCAATTAATTTTGAGAAGTTCGGTAAATTTTATTATACGAAACAGTACTTCAAAACACGGGAGTTGTGGGAGTTTAGCAAGTGAGTTCAACATACAATACTAAAGTAAATCATTACAATATTTCAAAGGCTCTAAGAGAATGCTTCATATTTGTGTAGACGGATTTTATAAGACTGGTACAAATAAGCTCAACATTTTACTAAATGCACTTGTGATTTATATAGGAGGTCAAAATTCTAGAAGTATATGCAACTACTACTTTAACTTTGTCAGTCATAGGAAGCTGTTTTATCCTAGACTTAGTTTCGTCAGAAGCGTGTACCGAAAAACTCACACTATATCAATACCAAAACCAGCTAAGTGGATGTGCTTCAATTGATTATCCACTTGCGACCTGAAAACTGTCCCTGGATTATTTTTTTTAGGAGAGGCATTTGTCTGCGATTTACAGTCCGATCATATATTTTTCATACTTTATTCATCTTTATTCATAACAATGTATTTTTGGTTCATTTCGAATACATTAATCAAAAACTTAACATTCTTAAAGTGGGTCACATCTTCATTCCTAAATTTCTGACATAAAATCAAACTTTTCATATGGAAAAAGTATTTGAAATATCAAAAGAATCATAACAAACAAACTAGTGGAATTTGCTGGGACCTTTTGATTACTCAATAACTAAGTGCAGTTAATAAGTAAATTTTTTTTAGATTATTAACCTTTAACATCAACATTATCAGAAACAATACAACAGATTCTGATATGAATGGATTTGGTAATTCACGGTAGTTAAATCCTGTTATGTTATTTCAACCACAAGACCTAAAACTCACGATCATTTTCACATGTGAAATAAAAAAGCTGTTACTAATCAATTAATGTGAAACAAGTGTATGTAGCAACGTACTTTTTGATTCGTACTGCTTTTTAATGAATACTATCTCTAAAGCAATCAAATTCTAAAGCTGTTTACTTAAACATAAAATGACAACAATTTATTGTTTGCGCACATTTTATCACAGTCGAATAGTTTTTTCCGGACAACTGGGAATTTGACGAAAGTGAAAACTACTGAGTTGGTTAATGACTGCATAAATCTATTTCAGCTTAGTGAGTTTCTCAGACAAGTGCTACATAAATGACCTATGTGATTATCGATTTTATGACGCTGCTTCGGATTGTAAAGAAATTTATTTATAAATATCCTCTTACATGATGGGTCTGGACTTTTCACTTTTTAAAAGTCGGCTTGTCCTAGGAAGAAATCTTCAAACATATAGGTACTTTTAATTAAAATCAGTTTTATATGACTTTCAACGCTTACCATATCATTTTCATAAATTTGAGTATCTGGCATTGGATTAGCAATAACATATCGGAAACCATTTTCTTGCCATCTATACAACCCAAGACATAGAATCTGCCAACATGTTATACAACGAATGTAGACATCTTTAAAGGTAAGTGGCTTCTAAAATTTTTAATAGTAAGTATACACATTTATTTTAAATTACTGAGCCAATCGTTTGTATATGTTAGCAGAAGTGCATGTACTACGTATAAATATTACATACATAAACAGCAAAGAATGATTTATGAGATTGTTTATCTAAATAACTGGCACAGAATACAATACCCATGTTTCAGTATGAAATTGATGGACGTATCGAACATAGAAATTCACTACGAATTTGTTTCTCAAAACGTACTATAAATTTACATGTTTTTAAATTTATTCGCACATAATAGGTTGTTTGACAGCTTTTATTTCTTGTAGCTTAGATCTGGTAGTATCGATTATTTGCCTTAGTTATATGACAAGTTAATTTGGTATATCTTGGAGGCTCTTGATATTAGATTTATACCTATTTTGCAAAGCAGTTTAGTTTATTTACTTTGACTTACTCATTTGTACTTTTGTTTTGAAGATTATTTGCTTTTAGTCATTGTATACAGCTTTACCATTATATAACGATTAATGATATAGATTATCGATTGTTAGATCAAACTAAGTGAATCATTACGGATGATTTTTTAATGGTTACTTTTGATTAATTTAAATTCTTTTAACCATCAAAACTTAATTCTTGACTTTCACAGAATACTGATAGCTATATTCGATCAGCCTGTATAATTTATTGCAAAAAATATTTCACCTTTTTATGTGTAATGAATATTAAATCCTTTGGAATTTACCAGGAATATATACATGGTACTTATAAGTAGTTCGAATGGAAATACTTATTTTTCAACCAAACGTAAATATTCCACTCCCTCAAATATAAATGACCATATATGTATGGTTTTAAGTATTGTAGCGAGTTTGTTACTTTATAATCTACAAAAGATAGAAATAGTTGTCTCTTTGTCTATTCTTTACTCCAATCTTTATATCAAAATTTACGTTGATCTACATTAAGCTTGAATAATATTCTCCTGAGAAGTAACAGCCAAGTCCCTTTGATTTTCGAAATTTAACAAACCCTATACATTTAAGTTTATTTCTCGTACAGCAATTCTAATCCAGTACGACCAGTCCCCTTCAAATTGTAGTGAATTCCTTTAGCATACTCAAATTCTCATACGTAGTGTAATTTATTTATACTGTAGTTAAATATATATTTTAAATGATTCTATTTTGTTACATATAAAAAGCTTATAAGAATACACAAAATTACTCATGAATTTATAATTTATCGCATACTTATGACTTATAAATATGAGCTGATGGATAGCCTCTACTACATTATAATATGGAATATATATAGAACCAAATAGTAGTACACTTTCTGTCGACTTGTCATAATTCATTTATTTATAAATCACTTTTATTTAACATCAAACGTCATTTTTTGACATCAAACATATGATCCAATGACTGACACTCCATTAGCGAATATATGATCACTTAAAATCAGTTTTTTTCTAAATTTATTTGTTGTGACAACATTTTTAAAACTAAATAAAAATGAGATTTTTAATATAACTTATATATATCAATATATATAATTTCCTTCTGTAGCTCTTCTAAGGCTACTGCCGGTCCCAAGCCCGGGTGAAAATGGGAGGTTGGGCATGGGGTCAGCAAGCTCATCCCGTAGAAAACAACCTTGCTAGAAAAAACGCTAACCAGAATAAACAGATTAAACCATTTGAACTCTGCCCTGGGAGTTGAAGGAGGAATTATGACGTCTCATGGTGGAAGCCGGGATTCTTCGGTCACGAGGCTGATGCCCCTTCTAATAACCAAGGCAACAATTAACATAGCTACATGGAGTGTTCGGACAATGTGGGAGACCGAGAGGACCAACTCGGAATTCTGAAGCTAAACGGTAATAGGGAGGTCAAAGAACACACTGCACCGAGAATCGGAAGCAGATGTCAAAAGAATAAATAGCAACTGGATAGGACTTCTCAGGACAGAGTTCGATGGAGAGGGCTGGTGGTGGCTTATGCTCCTTCATGTGGGATAACAGGCGTAAGCAAGTAATATATATCGTCTAAAATTTTCTCACAGTTAAAACTTAATAAAACTACTAAATCTGGTCTTGTATTTCACAATTATAAATTTGATTACTTTCTCCATTATTCATCAGAACTAGTCACAAGAAAATTATACATTGATAAGAAAAAGTAGCATCTATGAGTACATTCCAGTTGATTGTTCAACAAATTATTACCCACTTTTTAAAGACCATAATGTCATGGATCCTATTTTATGGATTATGTACTGCAATCAACATTTGAGTTTCCTATTGCTAAATGAATTTGAATCCAAAAAATGTTTCACTGCTGTTTCTATTGAGCCTCTAACGCTAAAAATAAGTTGTAGATTGACTGATTCACTATTCATCTACAGAAGTATTTAATCAGTTTCAGCATCTTTCTTGCGACTAAGTAACTCAATGTCGGTTTTATTAATTTCGTTCAGAATATGTGAGGAATTTAGTTTTTAACACTGAACAATGATGACATAGTCTTGCACCTGGACTCTCGTATTATTATAAATGTTCGGTTAGTTAGCAATCACATAGCGTGAATAATTATAGAACGGTGTTCTTTAAAGAGTATACTTTTTGCTTACACCTATGGATTTAAAAAAATTGACGTGATATATCGAATAGCTACTTATAACTAATTGGTCACGGTAAAAATTTTCTTTTGGTAATGTTCGGTTCTATGAGCTAAATTGCTTAATTGATAAACTTCATTGTCGTCATGGTCAACATCATCAGCGCCTACTTTACAGAGATGTGAGATTTTCGATTGTTCTACAAACATGAAGCCAGTCCATTATGACGACCTTGTTTGCTTCCGTTTACTTTCGAGATTTTATCATCTTTAAGTATCTTTTTGTTCTTGTTGACAGTTTTGATCGGTTAATCTCTGACTTTTTTCCATGAATCGACATACTGGATCCCTAAATAATGGTCACCCGCGAAACGTAATCAAAATTTGTTCAGTAAATAGACGTGCCACAACATAGGCACTGACGAGAAATAGATCATCACAGCATAAATGAAAAAAAACATTTTAAGAATCAGCACCAAGATTTTGGGACCTTTCAGAACCAGCGTCCTCAACAAGCGAACACAATCAACTCACATTCCATCCAATGAAGACTTTCAGACCCAACAGTGAACGAAGATAACTGAAACATTGTTTACGAATTCAACCAAAACAGCTGCAAAAGACAGAACATTGGATAAAGTAGATGCTTCCTTCACTTATACGCAAACACTGATTAGTGGTGATAAAGAACAAGATGCTATCATTTATTACATACAGGCAACTAGGGATATAAATTTGAAAAACTTAAATTTATCGATAGAGGAAATCCCAGAAACCTACAGAAGCACTGCGTTCAGGTCACTCTGCAATCAACATACAGAGAGACAGATCCGATTTAAAAGAATATCGAACGATCACATGGTCAGAGGTTAACCGATCAAAACTGTCAACAAGAACAAAAAGATACTTAAAGATGATAAAATCTCGAAAGTAAACGGAAGCAAACAAGGTCGTCATAATGGACTGGCTTCATGTTTGTAGAACAATCGAAAATCTCACATCTCTGTAAAGTAGGCGCTGATGATGTTGACCATGACGACAATGAAGTTTATCAATTAAGCAATTTAGCTCATAGAACCGAACACTACCAAAGTTACCCACCTGAACTACAAATCTTCATTACCACTAATTACTTCACTAAGTATCATTTTAGACTGTAGCAACATATATCTTTATCCTTATTCTCATTGACAATACTTCGTAGTGTGTTCTTGAGCAAACAATGTCACATTAAACAAAGTATGTTACACCAGTTAATGCAAAATTTCCGAATTTGTACTATCCATATCCTTACTTAGTGTACCTTCCTACTGTTATATCATGAACTTATATTTTCCTTGCTACACCGCGTACAGCTTGAGCACTCGAACGCCTGAACCTTCCAAGCCGCAAATCAGACGACTAGTGGGAAGGAATCTTATTCCAAACAGTTTTAAGTTTGATACAAAGTACTCAGGTATTTATAGTTCTTAGTAAAAATAAAATCATCATTACAGTCATCCAATCCTCGTGCAGTGGTTTTTAGCATTTGTACAATCGAAAAGCTACACGTCAAGATTTCGGAGTGTTCTTCCAAGAGATGATTTGATGGAATGTCTTCGGCTCTTTCTGAGCTTCCTTGATTTTGCCGAGGGCCGTCCCTACAACTGCTCGTAGTGTCGTACCGTGCATGATTAATATTTTTTCTTCATCAAAGTGAAGACATTTATGACGAAATTTAGACAAATTTGCCATTTTTGAGATGTCACTGACAAAATTTAAAAAGATAAAAAAGTTAGTTTTCGTTGTAAGGTTACGATATTACGGTACAGTTTTAGGATTATGATAGGTATTTCTCTAGTGAAGCAGAAAATTTTACTTCTATACAACAAGGCACATCTATTTTCTAGTAAGAAAACGAACTGAGGTTATCCGCATTGTGTTTTCAAGGTTCACTGATTGCTTCGTATCCAGCTTTTCCAGTCATTTTTCCGTTTCTTGAGTGAGTGAGTGCTCCATATTTGAATGAAATATTTATGAAAGATTTCATTTCAAGTTCTGATGTTTTCCACATATTTGTTTTTCATTTGATATGTTGAGCTGCACTATATTTGCCATGTACACTCTAATATACAGCACTCACCTATTAAATGGACGGAAAAATAACCAAACTTACTAAGTATGACAAGGAACGCTGAAAACACTGTAGATAACCTCATCCTGAAAACTTTAAAATTGAAGTAAATAAACCGTTTTAATTAAAATGTTTCATTCATTTTTGACTGCCAGTTGCAGGTCAAAATCAGCAAAAAATGCAGAGAATATTTTAGGCGAATAAATTGACAGGTTGTTTGCTTGTAAGTGCTCGAACTGTCTTCTAAGGTTTCACTCATCATGGTAAATCAAAATATCTTCAGTGTGAGAAGCTAAATGTGTGATCACTTGACGATATGTTTCGACAGAAATCTGAAGCCTGTTAGATCTGTTATATATTCATCAAAAAGTTGATAATTTGTGTACTTACTCGAAGTGATATTCGAGTTAAGAATTTGAAAGGTGCATGACGAAATCCCCTCAAAGAAACTTTTACGCCAGCCATTCGAGCTGACTGTGGTGTTGCTTGTTGTTGTAGACCTATTTTATCACGAAGTTGTGGAAGAAAAAAAAAACACGATAATTATTTGTGTTTTCAAAAACCGAACTAAATTTTTACAAACTCATGTCATGTTTACGCCGTAATGTGTAGATATAACAGATTTCTAATACGCTTAAGCAATCAATGTTTCTTAGGTTACAAAACATCAAAATAAATTTTTTCAAAATATTCTACGGTGTTACCACTTGCCATGTAGGTATGAATATTATTTTTACCTTTCTTGTTATGTAACCTGAAAACGTACATGGACTCAATTTTGTTTCTTTGCTAAAACTAGCTTAACATTTCTACGGAGCCGTTGGTTCATTTAACCACTAAACCGAGATGACTACTTCGTAAATATTTACTTTTCAGTAGAAAAGTATATTGGATGTAGGAATTACCGAAACCTCATACAAGACTAGTCGAAGCTAACTATTTAAACATTAAGTAATAACCCTTTGATCAATAAACACTTCACTTCCAGGATAAATGTAATTTTTTAAATATACTTTAGTATAGGGTTTCAGATGTATTCTATCAATTATTCGAGTTTCTACATCGAATTAAGTTGGACAGTATTTTCCAGTGTTGATATTTTACCTATTAAAGTTAATCTTTGAGTTTCGAAATCGATAATACACAAAGCATTAGTGTATTTAGTCTATGACATATTTTTGTGTTATGTACTATTTTGATATTCTCTTCATCATGTAACTGACTTTATCCTGATCTATTTTGTACTTACTACTGATTTAACCTAACTAATTGATCTAATAAAGGTTAATATAACCCCATAAATTCGCTAAGTTTTATACATAATAATTTAGACTAAACAGACTATATTTAAGAATGGTATATTCTACTCTGTTCCTCAAACATCTATAGACAAGACGGGGCTCGAAGTCGTTACTCAATAACTTGATTTTAAGTTCATAACCGATTAGAAAATGCATACCGCAACTAAAAATTTTTATGTCTAAATTCAAATTCTTTCTCATTTTTTAGCATGTTTTCAGTACTAACCCCCTTCCAGAAATCAGTCTGTCTACATTTACGATACATAGTTAAAAAATATTAAACTTATTATGTTCACATAAAATTAAGACCTTTGGAAATTTTGTAAAATCCGAGAAGTCTTATTTAAAATTTAGAGAAATACTTCATGCTACCTGACAGAAGTGGTATTCTTACATATTTAGTTACTTTACCCGAGTTTAGGACCTGAGGTAGCTTCATAGGGGTTCCAGATGGAGTTAAAGGTGGTAGTCTGAGGCAAAATTACTACTTTCATCATGAACGAGACAGATCTAGCTGTTTAAAGTTAACTATTTTGAAAACTCAGACCAAACAATAATCTGTTTTGTTACTCACTAGTTACTTGTTAGAGAATGTGACGATATTGTTAGTAAACTTCCTATACGTTGCAGCCTAATTATTTGTATACATACGCTCGATCACCGATCAAGAAGATAGGATAGTTGATGAAGACAAGACCACTAAACTGGTTAGATGAGAACCTGAATAAGCAGTACATATATATAATAGGCTACCAAAGTGGCATTGATGTTTAGTTTTATTAAAACTAACGATGTTGGCATAAAAATGTTAATTACCTATGGGATTGTTTATTTAGGGGAATTGTTTATTACTACACGATTATATGATTTATTATTCTCACCTGCTCCAACAGAAAATGATGCTTCAAGTTCATCAGTTGACTGTCCAGAAATTAAAACTCGTAGGAAACGAAATATATTATCATTGTAAAAGAACTAAACGGAAAAAGGGATATTTTTAAAATTATTTTACACAAAAGCTTCGTGAATCGTTAAGTATACAACTTTAATGTAGGTTCTTTAACATTGTACTGTAAGACTGAATTAACCATTTCATGTCTGTATTCCTTAAGAATCCTTCTTTATTCTGTTCTTTTGAACCATGTCTATATGTTGTTCGTTTTGAATGAGTAAAGTTCGTGAATTAGATTAGTTATAAGTATGATTCAGCATTTTATTCGTTTCCATATATTGTATCCGCAAGCTACGAAAAATTGATTTATGGAAATAGCAAGGTTATTTTTTTCTTAGAACAAAAAAACGCCTAACTTTTCGTTCTGTATTTAGTCTTTTAAATTTACTTCACCATATGTGTTTCGTAATGACTAGTAGCTAAATTAATGAGCAATTTTTGTCATTTTGAAGATTCAGCATCTATACATAAGTTTTATGGGATTATTGCAAATAATTAGACGCTACCCACTAGAGGGTTACAGTAACAATTATGTTTAATCTACCAGTTATTATGAAATACAATCAAGATGAAGTTATTTGTTAAGTGGAAGCATTTACAGAGTCTACACTAACAGACATTCAACAATTCAATCGTACTAATCAACAAAAAACAACTACAAAGTACTGCAATGAATAATTATGGTTTAATACTACCGACAGAATCTGTCATCGCTTATCGTAGCGATAAACTGGATACCAGAATAAAAGAGTATTTGTAACAATCTATTCATTCCAAATTTTACTTGGTACCTGTAAACATTAAAATGATCACCATACATCCAAACTGCTTGAATTCATTCCAGTGGTTATTAGTTTTGTTTTGTCGAGAAATGAGTAGATTAAAAATACGAATAATCCATTAAAGTCTTAATAAGAACTTTTTTTGAACCATCTGTTGATTGAAGTAATACAAAGTTCCAACCATTAGAATCAAACAATAATTCAAGTAAAATAGTTTTATTAAAACTTTTTACATTCCTTTCTACCATCTTGGAAATGGCATTCAAGAATTATTTTAAGAAAAATTATGAATTTGATCATGATTTATTTTTCAGTACTTAATTGTTTACAATTATCATGATAATTGAATTTACTGATAAAAAAAGGCAAAACCACTAATCAACTGGATATGTTTATCGTAACTGTCTATTAAGGTTAAATATTACTAGTATACATATACATTGTACACTGTTGATGTTTATTTATTTACTGAATAGTCAATCATGTTCTTAATTTTTAAAATTTAATCACTTACAGAACTCAAACAGCTATATAGTAAAGTGTTGCTAAAAATAATCCCCCGAGCAAATGGTTCACTAAACCATACTGGTAATTTGTAATCATTTTCATGTATGTCACCTGAACTGAACAAGTAGGCATTTTTTTCATAATCTAAAAAATTTAACATAGAAATATATATATATATATATTGGTTAAGTATGAAAGATTGAGATAATTCCAAGAAACCGAATATTTATTAAGGTAATACTCCAAAAATGTACTTTTATCGGGCAAGTTTCACCATAAACTGACTGAATTCGATGCTGTAAATTCATCAGCCTATATTTTATGCATGCACCATGAGATCTAAGGGTTTTGTACTCAGTTCATTTGGTGTGATGGACACCCATAGTTGAGTAGTCAATAAATAAGATGGAATAGATGTTTGGTGTTGCCTTTTGTTAATCGGTTCTCCACTAATGTCTGTTAGTGATGAAAATCAAATACAAAACAAAACATGTTTAATCTGTTTTAGTTCATTTTAAAATCAGAAGTATGGAATCCTTTACCTAATGTGATAGTGTTAAAATTTATATTTTTGAACTTAAATTATCGATAACCACTTATCTATACAAGATTAAACTTAAAATATTTACTGATCCGATTTTCAAATTATTCCATGTGAATCGTGCCATAAAAGTTTTAAGATCATTGAATACCGAAAAATCCCGTTTCTTGTTTGAATATCATGATTACGTTAGTGCCATTTTCATACTACTAGATGAAAAATGCATGAATTTTAATTATTTTTTTTATGCATACATTTAAAAAGTTTCATTTGACATCTAATTGAAATATTAAACATTGGAATTATAATTAGTAAAGACATTTTAAGTTTAGCAGCTAAGGAACTATATGAATCAGTTTGCATACTTTTGTCATATTTTAAATGAATCTAAAAGACATACGTAATTCTGTTGTTAAATGAACCAAATGTTGTTCTTTTTGTAATAATGATCGAATATTCATTGCACATAATAATGTTACTCTGTCTTGAAGACTTGGATCAACACATTGTGAATGAGGCTCTTCCGCACTGTAACCAAGCACTACACAAGCATTACATTGACATAAATGTACTGAGTGTAGATCATTAAAACTGCATGGATCACCCTGTGGAAAAATGAAAAGACAAAAGTGAATATTTTGAGTTTAAAAAATTAACCATTTTTAAGTTTAATAAAATTGGTAAGTAATATTAGGTATATCTGTCAGTATGGGGTTGTCGAAGTTGTTGACTTTCATCGAAATCATGAACCGATCTGAATTTGACCACCATTAAAAATCTGGAAGCACTGGAAGGCGCTTTCATCCTAACATGAGACTCCCCACCAGTGCTCATCCACGACCACCCCCTAAGGTGGGAATCAATCCCAGGACTTTCGGTTTTGCTCACGAACGCTTGACCTACAGAACACTGGGGTCGGGAATGTGAACTGCTAAGGAGTCCCACATGAGGACGAAACGGTCATACAGTTCTCCCAGGTTTACAATGGCGGTCTAATTTAGATCGGTTCGTGATTTCAATGAAATTAGATATATCTGTCATCCGTTTCTTTTTCTTCCATTTGTTTATATCAACTCGACTGTCAATGAGATCACTTATAAAAATTTCTCCCCAATAAGACGTAATAAGTTTTAAAAATATATTCTGATAAACTAGTCATGATTATGAAACAAGAATCTTGTTAATTTGATGATTAGCATTTTGTTCCATTTAACTCATTTCTCTGAAACTCACTAAGAGATTATTTAACGGTAGTAAATAAAACAGTACTTTTTTACTTTTAATTAACTGAGCAACACCTGTTCATACCGTCTGACAAGAAAACGAATAGCTAATAAATATACTGTTTGATTTGCAAGAGAATGGAAAGTACGCTATCGAACAGACGAAAAATAATAAGCACTCCACTGCTAATTGACTAAACTTTAGAATCCTTTATAAATTTAACATTCCGTTAGGCTGGTAAAGTGTTTCCATATTTACTGATGTAAACCAATCTTTGCAGATTTGTGATACTACTCAATACATAAAATTGTCAAGTTAACTAAATAAACCAACTGATTTAATCTTGTTTTTTGTTCAATTTGTGAATGTTGCTTGCGAGTTGAAACTGTTAACACATGAACTTCCGCTGCAAATCAGTTTTCGCTGATGTAGATTCGTGATAAATAGAATATGGATATAACATGTAACGCTTATAAAACTAAGCTCTAGATGAGTATCACTACATGAATAGTAAGAAATAACCAAACCCTTAATAATTAATCTTGGGTGTAACAAGATTTCAAATCTAAGACAAATGGAAAGTCTACTGATAAACACTAAATTCTATCACATGAGAATTTTACCATATTTTAGTGAGAATGAAATAGCCACAAATGTATTCAGTGAGACCCGATTTGTATTCAAACAATATTTATTAGAATTGTAATTTAGTTGTAAGGGTCTTCATTTTCTCGTAGTTGGTGTTAAGAACTGTAACTGACCAATCTCTTTTGGCATATGTACATCCTTAGTAGACTAGCTTGAGGCATTCGACTGAATAAATTGTTTCTTTATACTTTTTGATCTGACAATGTATACCTGCAGTCAAACTAAAGCTTCTGTTTCACTATCGTTGGGAGTGTTTAAATCCCCACAAGAACCGCCTACTTGCTATTTTGCTACTTTTTGTCTGTAAATTTGAATTTCTGTTTTTCTAGAGTTGAAATTTCACCTGCGTGACACTATTATTACCTCGGTTAAAGAAAATTTATACTTACTAGTCTGTTTTCATTTTAGAATGCTATTTTCCCGCCATATTTTCAGGGACATTGTCAATGTATCTGTATACAATAGTTTCTTGCAAAATGAGATTTTTTTATTTTTCTCAATAATTCTTCAGCGTAAGATTTGTCTTTTGAATAAATCGCAGCAAGCAAAATATTAAGCAGCTTTTTATCCTGTGTATCGATATGAGGCTAGGAATTTTCATTGCATGGACAATCCGTACCAATTGTGTTACTTGCGTTATCTGAGTTAATTTAGTTGCCTCAAATATCCGTGGATATTTCTGTTTTTTTAATAAGTTGTTTCATAATACGGCAGATCACTTAATTTTCATGCAGAAATTTGCATAACGCCTTGTTTATGTTGAATACATTAACTAGATTGGATTTATTCGACTGTAATTAGTATTCTATATTTATTTAGAAGGTACCAATCAACCATTAGCATGCCTAGGTACTTCTAATGAATTATTTTTCCTTACAAATTTTTCTTATGGTTGTAAATTATAAAAAAGAAGCTTGCAGGGAAAATTATATTCTTAAAACATAATGATTTAAACACTAAAAATAATTCTACTGAGTTCTTGATTGTAGTACATGATCGAATTATAAAAATATTTGTAAGAAACTAGGTCATTTTGTCTCGTCACCTTTGAAAAGTAATAGAGCATTTCATCGTATTGGAATATGAATTATAATATTTATGGAACTCCGAAATGTTTGTTGAGTCTGTAAGTTAATGATATTCTTTGATGTACTACAATTATTCTTGATCATTTTATAATTCAAAAACTAGGGCATACTTTTTGTTTACAATTTGTGTAGTGTAGTTTTCGATAATGTAATAACACAGGTAATGACAACTTTTTGAATAAAATCTCACAATATTTCTAAATGACCTAAGTCTTATAGCTATAGAAGATATTTTCATGATAAACTTACGTCGACGATAAATATTCTTGGAAGATTTTTTAATTTCACCCATTCCAACGGCCCAATTAAATGACTATCTCCCAAGATCACGATATCTCGAACACGCTGCCAATGGAACCGTAGTGGCATGATGAAATTCTCCAGATTAAGAGGACCGTTTGTTGATTTTCCCGCAACACATACAAGGAAATGTCTGTTAAAATTCAGACTTGCTGCTTGATTTGGGCTCTTTAACAGATGAAAATAGCAAAGTTATCCGAAATAAGTGTAAATGAAATCTAAGCCGATACGATTAAAAAAACTTGTCATACGAAATAAAAAAAACCAGTGCAACCTTGATGTCGGTTATACTGATCACACTATTAAAATATTTGCACTTATTTGATACAGTATGTTTCACTTTATTCTCACAAAATAACAGAAACACCGAGACTATTTGAATAAAACATCATTATGTCAGATTTTGATATGAAACTCAGTAATTTTTTGGAAATTATATCTCTTCATTTTACCACTAAAAATGATTAGTAGTATGAAATAAAACGTAAAATTTTAGCACAAGTTTTGGATTAGCCATCCAATAAAAGTTACTTGAACTGATTTCGTAAAAAAGCAATTTACCAGGTTTTCTAACGACTCGAATACATAATTTCAATTTAATTTAGATATTTCGTATTGGATAGAACAATAATTGAATTCCATTCATGGTTAGTGTATCCGAAGATACGGCCGAGAACAACAGGTCATTTTCTAATCATGAATCCTCTATAGAACCTGAGTATCATCCTACTGAATAATCAGTAAACCGAGTATTATATACACGAATACTTACCAACGTGGCCCTTGTAAGTGGGATATCTGGTACCCAATGAAATGATCCAGTACGATCTACTTGTGATGAATGTGATGGAGTTCGTATTGGAGAATAATTCATACACCTTGCTGGAATATTATTTGGAAGTGCTAAATTTCTTGAATTCATATCCATTTTTCTCGTTTCACTTCGCCCACGAGGTTGATCAAATAGTAAATTTCTTGTATCATGTAATAAATTAGGTGACGTTGCAGTAAATGAATGACGAAAAAAGTGTGTAGATCTAGTATCATATGACCATGTTTCACTATAAACGAAAGGATAGATATATTTAAATGTAAACATGCATATATACTATCTTTATCAATACAATATTTCATGTAAAGTTGTTTGATAAAAAATTCGTTGAATTATGTAGCCATTAAAATATTGTGCACAATTTATTATGAATGATAAAAAATGTGTAGTAGTAAATGGTTAAAGTTAATTAAATGACGTTTCAAATTTAGGCTACATAATTGATGGTTCCTCCATCCATTTTATTATTTACGAATTAAACAAATAGAATCATATACTCTGACAAATAATGAGACTGGTAAGTAGTTCCTTTCAACAATTACTCATTCGGATATATCGTTATAGCAGTTGGTCTTTACTACAGGATATCATCTCTAATGTATGCTTTACTAGACTCTTCTAATTTTAAATGTATATGAAGTCACACTATTCTATACACTTTCTTTTATTATGTTGAAATGTAGACTAGCAATACTGTGGTTTTCACCAGTATTCTATGCTTTGATATTTACTATCGTACATTGCATAATTATAGTAGTCATGTAAGTTTTAAATCTCCATCATGAATACATTTTGTCTACTTGACAAAAAAATTATTATCTGTTAGAGCACAAATCTAACCATCTGTATGACGTTGTTTTCTTTTTTTAGGAGATCAGGTTATTCGAAATTATCGTCTTTCCTTTCCTCTTACTAATACTTACATTGCCACTTAAAAAGTATTTTATCAATGTTAAAAATTGATCTTTCATAATGTATACCTCTTGATCGTTAAATATAAGGATTGTTTTCAATGCTAATTGATGAACACAGTTATCTTAATGAGCAGAATAATGACTTCTTTGTTTTCATAATAAATAGAACTCACAAAATAAATAAATGAACAAGAATTATTGGTGTTAGTTAGGCACATAACTCACATAAATTATATTCTTAAATGGTAAACCTAATAATTCAGTAAAACTAAGGTTCTATTTTGTTCTCTTACTGAGTTATGCAATTTTAGTCAACAGTTATTTTTAATGATTTTATATCTTCACAGGAGATAACATTGTATACTGCAGGAAAGGTAGGATTAGCTCAAAGATTTTTGTTACAATGGATTTATTTGTTTTGAGATTGTTTTATTAGTATAATCCATTTTATATCAAGTAACACTTTCAAATTGGTCAGTGTTAAACTGAATTATTAGTTTGTGAAAATGTATTTATAGCTATTTTTATCGGAACAAATACTTATATTGTTCTATATTTAAATACAGATTTATTTAAACGGGCTTACGCTTTAACAGCATTTTCTCTGGCTTTCCCAATTTGCTCATATAGTGCTAAGTCTAAAATAAGATAGAATAGGTCAATAGTTCAAACAATTTCCTGTGAAAAAGTAATGCAAAGAAGCAATGACTTTAAAAGTTAAGTAGTTGTTCTATCAACATAGTAAACCATACAGTATCAAAAGACAATTACTTATTACAAACTAATTGAACCAGTAAATATAAACTATGGTTCATATCACGGACTGATCTTAGGTAGACAGCAATTAAAAACCAGAAAGCACTAAACAGCTGTTTTGTTCTGGTTTGATAGTCTCCAGTGCACACTTAAGTTCCTAGAATGAGAGAGAATCGGAGACCAATGGTTTCGCCATGAATGCTTAAGCTTTATGCTACTGGGTTGGGATGATGTACATGTGTAACTTCAATCAATTCTTGATATTATATGACCACGTTCTACTTGCTGCTATAGATGACATTCAGATGCGATTCTAGAAGTTCTAGTGAGAAGCTGTGACAAGCGGAGTTCAACCATGTTGGGTACGAAACAGTTATTCACAACAGGCGATGGGATGTGTTCACAGCTTTCTGACTGATAATGACTTACAATACGATATGTCAGTTCCTATTCGATGAATTTTAAACTTGTAGTCTCACGATAACAGTATTCTTTCTAACCGTATACTTAAAATAACTTTGTCACTTTAAGATCATTGTTTTTATATTACTCAATGCCTTTTGATTGATACTTTCCGTTTACGTCTTTAAGCTTATTCTGACAATACTAGATAATTCACTCTAATAGTTATCATGGTATATGTAGATCGTGCAAAAATGAAATTATGAAGTAAATGTTCGTACACTAAATTGGGCTGAAGAAGAAAACATGTTTGATTTTCTAGGTTTGTGCGAACCAAAACGTAACTTCTAACATTTCTGTTTTGACACCCACTAGTTTCTGGCCACGTTCAGCTTAAAACACAAATCATAGCCTTCTCTTATTTTTGAGGTCAGTGACATCATTTTGTCAGTCGATGAAGTTTCTAAAGACTTGGACAGAAGTAATTTAGTTTACGTGTCTTATCTTGAATGTTTCAGAGTTTGACAATGTCTTACTGTTTCTGGAAGATGTTTTAGTTTCCGACATACTCACGAAACATTGATTAGGCAATTGAGGAGGAACCAGAGGGACGATTATTGAAATTGAAGGATTGTATTTGTTTTGGTGTAATGTACTGTTACATATATTTTCTACTGATAGCGATAAAACGGTTAATGATCTAAAATTGTAAGCAATAAAAACTAATACCTTTTATTTTATTGCCTGTTTTTTTATTGATTATAAAAAGTTTCATCTTCCAAATCAGCTCTCTTAAGTAACATAAGGGGAAGCGAGAATAAATTATTGTGGTATAAAAAAACTATCCAGTTTGAAGGGAAAATCAACAATATTATATTTCAAATGATGGTTAGTGAGTGAAATTAGAACATGCTGTTTGTCCCATGTAGGACTCATCTGCTCGATTTGTGTATCTCAGTTTAAATTTTCACAGACTCACAACCAGTAACTATGTCTATGTGGCAGCAGAGAATGATCTCCTGTGATTCTGAATGTCGAAAACGACGAAATAATAACCCCCACTAATAATGATGAATAGTACTATTATTTGCCTCAAAAGACCCATCGATTTCAATATATTTTATAGATGGTCTTACGTCTTCATTATTCAAAGACATTTTAGATAGCTTATGAAAGTTTTTATTTGATTTCATAAAAAAATGGATGTTGTTTTTCTGTGAATAGTTGCTGACAGTTCAACAGACTATGTAAAAGTCAACATTTAACTCTTCAGTAGCATGGAAAATATTAACTGGACATTATAATCTCACTAAAGCTATCAGTTTTCTAAAGTAAAATATATATTTGTTGCTATAAGTCTCTTTGAAATTTCTGTTTACCAATCTTTGATAAAGACATATCTAACTCACCTCTAGCAATTGTTATCTTTCTTCTTTTTTCTAACACAGGACGACTACATCTGCATGGTTGACCAATTAGATGTCCTTCACATGTTATGCAATAATACTGCAAGCTTATTAACATTTGAAAAAATAACATAGAATTAGTAAATACTTTAAGAAATATTACATTCGAATAATGTAATTCAAATGTGAATTAATTTTAACTACTGAAGGGAAATAATAATGACTTTCCTATTAAGAAAACCCATATTAGAGAAATGAAGTAAAACTCTCATGAATGGTGTAAAACGATAAGGATGAGAAAAAACATTAAAACTATCTGTTTACTTTAGAAAGCTTCAACAAACAATCTTAAGGCTGGGATAGGGTAATAGGTAGCGATAATGATTAGGCTGGTGTGGTAGGAATTTCCCTCAACTGAGGCTATCGGGACATGTATTACCTATACTCAATTACCGCCTACCGTGACGGGCGATGTTATTTGATGTATTAATAAGCTGGAAGAAAGTCAGGGGTGGACAAACCACTATGAAACATCAGTTTATGATGCCATGAAAATTGGGCTAAGGCATGAAGGTAAGTGTAAACTATGTGTTTTGGACCATTATCATTATGGTAACCAATGTTTGGAAACGTTAGGTGAAATTCATCAGAATCATTCCAACTTTATCTTCTCTTAGATCCTAAGTCTCAAAATGATCTTATGATCTTTTCGACTCCACAAATCATATGTTGTATGCCTAGTCTTCTCTACACCCATAATGTTACTACTTCAACCGCTCTGGAATTTACTATGATGATCTCTTCTGATCGTGTTAATGTGGAGCGGGGACTTAAACCAGTGCATGTATGTCCCAAGTTCTACGTCCTGTTCGACTGACTAACTGATTTTGTATTTACCAGTTATATATTATAAGAATGCTAAAAAGTTCTTTATAGAATATACTTTTTCAATACATAAAGCTAATATTTCGAATAAATAATGTTAGACTTATACTTGACTAATCATTAATCTTACTAAAACCTGAAATGGTCGATATTGCAAAATTAACGAGGATAAATTTATACCAGAACCCTCCGATTCTGATTTCCGGAAATAAAATGACATGAATCTGCAGTTAAACTCTGCTTCCGGAAGTATCCGTGCGAAATGTTGATAGCCTAGACTGTAATGTTTCAAATAGTCTAATTGAATACTCATATTCATTATCGTAAAAACTGGTCAGAGATGAGTATATATATATATATATATATATATATATATATATATATATATATATATATATATATATATATATATATATATATATATATAAACCTAAGGTTAAATGTATATTGTGTCTAATTAGACTGTTATCTCTCGATTGATCTTTTTTGGTAGCTACACTATTTGCTGTTAACGGTCTAGATTCTGTTTCAGTTATTTCTGTAACTCATATCTTATAACAGGTGTTATCACTGTATGCCAATTTTCACCACAATCGTCCGTACTTTTAACTTGATGTATTGACTGAGTCTACGTTTTGTGTTTAGTGACATTTCTACTTCTCATATTTTAATGTGGTTGTGATCTCTGCATTTTGAAGCTATTTAATTTGGTTGAGTTATTTACTTTAAAACTACTAGCACAAAATTTACTTTTGTTAACTTCTAACAATACTGAAACTTGATGCAATTGTGATCTGCATGCCAACTTACTACTTCAAGTAACATTAATATTGCTCAGTTATTTAAAAAAAGTGATTTTATTTGACTAAAACTCTTACAGTGTTAACAACGCTTTTTATATTTTCGTTTTGTGAATTTCTGTTCCATTATTCTATAATACTGCTACCTTATTTTTAAACGTGATCATGCTTTCACTGCAACTAGATGGTTAAATTAAAATCTTGTCACGAATTCTGTCGTTTATCTGAGAAATAAAGATTATTAATATACAAAACCATTTGTAGCTTTTAAATTTCTAGACGTTAACTATTATCTAGTCAGACCTCTACCATTAATTTATTATATAAACACAGATGATAAGTTTTGAAAAATGATCATTCACGGTATGCAATCTAAGTACTTGATTATAGGATCATATACCTCTAAAAACGGTTGTTACTTCATTAAAATTATAAAAGACCAAAGTAAATCACCTACTTTAAAGCAGAACTATAATCACTAGATATAACTATAGCGCGCATTGAATTATTATTCACTGGACAGTTTACTTCAATTGGATTTATAAGCATTGAAGATTTTTCTAGCCCATTGATACGTATGGCTAGTAGAATAAGATTCCACTTTTCATAAACAAAACTGAAACATGGAAAGGTAGACAGACGGAGAGACAATGAAAGACTATAAGAAAGAGGAGAAATACCTCATAAATGATCATATATACTGATTTCACAACAGAAAACCAGGGCGAAATAGGTATCTAGTGCTCTCTGGTTTTCAATGAATCTTCAAATGATGTGGAATTAAGACAAAAACTGTTTTGCCACGTAACTACCAATCACAATGCACTTAACTAAATAATTTTACTTTATTGAAATGTATGGAAATTTTAAAAAAATTCAGTACATATGAGTCTGGAAAAGAGTATTTGATAAAGCAGTGAATTTTGTTTTCCACCAAGTCATGCAAATCTATCTCCTACATCACCGAACAATCAGTAAACTAAAATTTAAGGTTCCTAATTTTGTTAGTTTGTAGAAATGTGTTCATTTTAGAATTAGTTTTCATTACAAACTGATATTGTCGAGAAAACCAATGAAAACTAGACAGGTATTTCATTCTAGTTTAATGCTCGCCATCATTGTGCATTTATAACTTCATATGAGATTGAAACCAAGATCTTCGGACCTTGAAGTAAACTCAATTCTAACCAGGTATTGAATTCAATCCAGTTATAAGCATTATAACTTTTTTATTCATTCTAGATCGTAGTATTTTTATGGTTTTTCATATTTTAAACTGTTTGCACTATAAATATACCACAGAATTTGGATACTAAGTCATTCTCTTGTAGCCAATCTTACAGTTGAAAATAAAAACAATTTTGACTTGAATAAGTAAACTTAGTAGAGAACTTTTTATGATAATCTGAGTTCATCTGTCCTAATATGTTTAAGTAAACGAAATTAGTTAGCAACTGAGTCATCAGGTATTCATAACCAGTCTTATGATCTAGACGCACATTAAATGGTTTTTGTTTTTGGAGTAATACCGAAAATAAACATGTCTACATCAAAATCCCTTAATAGCCAAAAAGTTCGACACGCACAAATTCACTTGTATATTCTATAAATGTTCGAACATTTAAGTGTTGTGAACAACAATTTATTTGTTTTCCTATGCAGCATCATCAATGACAAATGCTGTACAATAGCACTTACACGAATGTAAAATTGGTTACTATGATCTACTTAGCTAACTCGAGTGGGTATTAAGCTGTGAAGTAATTCAGATATTCAAACCCGTAAATCATACGGCTTATTTCCACCTTTCTTATAACTGAGTTATTATTTCTTACTCTACCATTGTGGTGGTTTCAACTCACAAGATTGCTTGCAAGTAGTACGTAGCACAAAGTGGCGCTGAAGTCGTTACAGTCAGAATAATGCAGTCAGGGAATAATTTCAGTACATCGAAAGCATGGCGTAGGCAGAACACATGATGACTAGACGGAAAGATATTTCGGATTATAGAACACATCGCAAGATGCAAATGAAAGATTGAAGGTTATGTATACATGATATATAAATGCTTTGTAATTTGCCCTGTATTCTTCGTTTGGACCGTTGTTTTTCAGCCAAGAACACTACTCTCTGTGAATCATTAAAATATACTAACAGATATTGTATATTAGTGTTACTTTCAGTAGATTAGTGATGCCCACTGCCTAGGTTGATTTAGGGAAACAAATCGATAATGGAAATATAAATGTAAACTTACATAGCTAAATCTCTAACAAATAGGTTCGAAAATTCATGACTAATACCAACATCATGTAGTTGCATTCGAAATCCATACTCATATTCTATCCTCCAACGTTCATACTAAAACAGGCCGAAGTATAAAGGTAGGTGAACAGTATAAACAAGTTGACACTCAATTACTATTGTCTTTATATTTTTTCCCATAAGTGGTTCGATAACCTAAAAAATTGTCTAGTCAATAAAACTTCAATTAAGTGCATAAACTAAGTATAGATTTCGAACAAAAAACCTGACATGACAAGCGTGTTTGTGAAACAACTCCAAATTCCAATGAGTAAATTTTCAAAATATAGTACTATTACAACAACACTAAACATTAGGAAATTCCAATAAAATTTTGATCTCCAGATCAGAATAAAAACAAAATTGCAAAAATTACTATGAGTATATCAAAAACACAAGGGTGTGTCAGGTGTGAGCACCAACAGTCAATTGTTACCAATATATTCACTGTTTCCCTAATTAAATTACTATACACTGAGCATATTTAGTAAAACCAGTTTATTCGTTAAGTAACTAACTAATTAGAAAGTTTATGGTGCTATTATGTCCATCACTGTTGAGAGTTGTATTTTTAGCTGCAAGTACAAGTGTTATGATGTACGTTCATTTTAAAGAATAACTAGTGGTAAGGATGTTTTATTGATATTAGCTAGGTTTTTTTATGATATGTCAGTGAACAGTTGTTTCTCACGCAAATTAATGATTCATTTATACGCTAATTTGTCGTTGAATGGTATGTGATGCTTAAGTTGTCTAGTTCTTAGTGGTGTTTTAATTCTGTCGATCAAGCTGCGCTGCAACTACCATGTTATGTAACAATTGCATTATTTTTGATGTTAGTGGGATTTTAAATTTAATGCACTTCCTATGGTTTATCTCCAACCACTAAATATGGATTTCATGTTTCTGAAATGCCTGTCACTAACTGTGTACTTCGATAGTCATTTTTAATAGAAAATGATGAATATTTGACTTTCAAGATTTAGTTTTAAATAATTAACATTTTAAATAAAACAAGAACAAATATTGATTCAGAATAGTATGAATTCATAATATTTCAAGGTTTCTCGTCAGCTGCTTACAACCAAATATGTGTTAGAATTTTACATTGAGATAAGAAATAGTGTGAAACAATTGACATAAATGGATGTAAATAATTGGAATGACAAAGGTTTACAATAATAACTATATATATATATATATCAATGTAAGATTCTAATACATATTTGGTTGTAAGCAGCTGACGAGAAACCTTGAAATATTATGAATTCATACTATTCTGCATCAATATTTGTTCTTGCTTTATTCAAATTCATGAAGGGAACTAATTGCATGAAATGAACATTTTATACAACTTGATTGTGAAACAACTCAATAGTTAATTTCATATAAATTTCAATAAGTATCTTACTTCAAATATTTTTGGTTTACTTCCATGTGCATTTAGAAGATTTACAATCAACGTTGAGAAACCCGGTGCTAGACAATTGTACGCCATTAAACCTAATTTTAGTTCTTCCATACAAACTACCATATCGTTGGCTAAATATGTCCAACGTGGAAAATTATTCATTAAACACTACAAATAAATAAACGAGAACATACGAAATGATATATGACTTACAAAAAATAAAATTTGCAGCATTTCATAGATTTTAAAACATGCACTAATAATGAATTACTGTTAAAATAGGTTTATAGTCTTGTGAGAATTCCATCAGCATTACTGAGATTTGAAACATGTAAAGGAACAAGAATGTTCAAATATGTTGCAGTGATTTGTGATCATGAGAATCATTTAATTTAATTTATGTAGCTTCCCCGTGTGTAAACGACAATATTGAATCCTGTTCAAATACTATGATGGAATAAATTGTGTTGTTAAATATCCTAGATTTATACACTGCATGGCTACTGCTGTTCAAATGTGACAAAATCGGGCTCCATACTTGTTTAGTTTAAAGTGTTCGGAGAATTTCGATAATGAATACGACAATTGGTAATAACTGTGATATGACCGTATTTCAGGCTTATATAAGGATCCTCTCAAGAGTGAGTAGTAATAATTTGTTCATATTTTTGCTAATTCGAAATATTTGTATACAACAGTCATATGTAATGAATAGTTAAACTATCGAATAGAGAAAAAGCTTCAAGTTCATAAAACTAGTCAAAGTCGAATCAAAGAACAGAACCAATTTTCAGGAATCTGTCAATCTAGCATTATAAATATAAAGATATTAATTGTATATCTGTAAAGAACTATGAATATTTGGACCGGATTTGTCATTTTACTCAGTCAACCACTTTATTATCGTTAAATAGAAATCACAATTTCACTGGTTGAAATCATGAATCCATTGAAGCTAGACCACCATGGCGCGAGACTGATAGGTCCTGGGTTCGAATCTCGCAAGGAGCGGGATCGTGGATGCGCACTGCTGAGGAGTCCCATACTAGAACGAAAAGGCCGTCCAGTGCTTCCAGGTTTTCCATGGTGCTCTAGCTTCAATGGATTCATGATTTCAACCAGTGAAATTTCTAAAATCTCCACACAATCCCTTCTGATAAGAAATCAAAATGTTCGCAAATTCCCATAACGCTGCAGAAAAAATCTTTTTCGGAAACTCACCTTATTTCTAAAATAATGTAATTGCAAAATAACGCGTAAATTCTTTTTTCTAGCCTTTATTGCAATCGCTTGCATTATATTTGCGCTGTCTTCATCATCACGAAACTTTGTATTTGGTGTGGCTAATATGAATGCTGCTCGTGCTTCTTTTAATTTAGTTCTGGCTAAATCGTGTGGGTTATTCGGTGTACCAAGAAAATATCGAACCCATGCATGATATGGACTAAGAATTGCTTTCAGTGCATAATCCAATGGTATTCTTTGTAATTTTTAAAAGTAAATAGTTTGAAAATATTATTTTTCATAATAAAATCTTCGAATGCAAAACACTATCCAAAAAATCATGGTTAGCATTTTCTCAATAATATAGATTCAGAGTATAATTCTAAGTCCTTTTGATAATAATCAATTAAATCGAGGGTTTCGTAGCGCGATTCAACACAAAATGCCTCTTACAAGTTGACCAATGGAAAGTTAGGTTTGTAGTTCATAAAATGACGTTTACGACTATCACCTATTAAGTTTTTACAAATAGTGATACTTGGTACCTGTTTCAAGATATACAACTGTGAGCAGTCTATGAATTGTTTAATTTGCATGACACGCAAAATCGTGAAGCGTTCCATATTTTTCAACCCATTGCGTTGAAAGCACTCAATGAGTTCCTGCAGTAATTTGCGTGTCTCCAAATCAATGTAGCATTCACCATCAAACTGCACTTTAGAAAGCTTACTCGAGTGAAACCTCGTAATGACATATAACTTTTTTCTTTATGACATCTGAAATAATGTAACACGTATTGCAATTGCGCCATATTTATGTCATTATATATATATATATATATATATATATATATATATATAGGCTCAACGAATAATGTTCTGCAAAGAATGTAAACTTTAGCTATTGAACCCAAAATTACTCAACTCGTTGGTTTCTTAGTGTAAATCTAGACAATAAAATATATTGTGAAGCAGTAACCAGTCGAGTCAAATGAAAGTAAGGCTACATATCTCAGTGACGATAACTATTTTATTAGCTTTTTTGTATGTTTTGAATTGCTAAATATGTGGATATTATGTAGTCATTCTCTGAATTCGTATTTTATCCTATTTTTACTGAAAACATTCACATAAGCAGTACTGCACTGTCCGGAAGCTCATGAAGAAATAATTACTACTCCATAATAAATAAAAAAATTATTCAATACAAATTATCCGATATTTGAATAACTATTTTTGAATAAGTACACCTGATATAGATTGATTTCTATTTTAATCTCTCCTTAAAGAATTTTTAGTTGTATAAATTTTCGAAAAGCTTATAAAATACAGTATGAAGCTATGTAAGTCTGTGGTTAAAGTTTTAAGCCTTATCACATAATTAAATCACTAAACAAGTCAGAAACTTTTACAAAAGTGATTGATTTCTAGCGGAATATTTATATGAATAAAAAAACTCAATGCGTACTTACGGTCTCAAGAGTACCATATTTATTCTCATACGTCCCTTGGCTTGACATCCGTAAAGAAAACCTTTGATAAAAGCTCGTATACTTTCGTTATCGAAATTTCCGCAGACGATAACATGTCTGTAGAATATAAAACAAAAAATCTCAAAATGCTGTAATCTGAAAGTAAGTCTCATGATATTACTAGTGACTAACTTATGAATGAATTTTGCTTAGCCCAATTTTGTGAAACCAATTGCTCAGCAAATTAAAGATTGATGGCTGGATGACACAGAATGATGATCAACCATTCTTAATATCCAACTGTAGTTCATGATTTGGTTCTCTGATTTTCACTTAGTCGCCTGAATGTATTCTGCTCACTTTGAAACCTAAAAGTCTTGATGCACTGTGAAGTCAAGAATTTATGACTCGTAAAGTAGGACAAAACAACTGACTTGTAGTTTGTGGTCTTTAATGGTATTTATCTGCAATTAAAATCACTTCGAGAAAGAAGCCACAAAGGGATATATGTACATCCTGATATTAAAAACTTGGTATTTATAAGTAGAACAATTATATATTATGTTTAATGTTACCCATCAAATTGTGGTCAAATTTCTATGGCTTACTGCCAAGGTAATAATGGGGATACTCACTTTTTGTTAACGGTGTTAGAGTCTTCTTACTAATAATAACGGCGGATGCATTTTTTTCACATCGGATTTTTTGCATAACCTTTACCCGTTTCTGATTGGGTGCCTTTACTTTTTATTCGCCAATTTTATGTGTTTTAAGGTCATTCCTTCGTTATCATATATGCTAATTAAAGTTGTTCTGCTTAATTACTAAGTTTTGTTCTAGTTTTTCAAGTGTGGTATGCTAGCTGCTGTTATCTAGCACTAGAACAGTCCAATTTTTTCTTAATTGGGAAGTATTGTAGGTTAAATGGAAACTCCATTACCGTTATCGATTCTTTTATAAATGTGTAATGTTTATGAAACAGACAGAGAGTTTATTAAAATAAGAGTCATCTTCACTAGTAATGCTTAGCAATTAATGCATCGTGTTGTACTCACAGATAAATTTATCAGTGAGCTTTCATTTTATTAATTAATCGTTGAGATTGAGTTGCTTTATCGCAAAAGGAGTATCTTTTTAAGTAAGATATAAAACATTACTTGTAAGGTGTGAAATAACGAAATAATACTCTAACTGGAAGATTTTTAGTATAGAAAAATCTTAATTGCTAACAGCAAGATAAAAATATATTCGATTGTGACGTTTGACAACTTGTAACTAAGTGAAAAATCTAACCTATTGATTTACCACTCAGAAATAAAAACCTTATAACTTTAAAAAATTTCTGTCAAATGAGACATGTCTTCATGTACTCACCGTTCACCTGAAATTGGTTCGTATCGATCCGAAGAATTAGTATAGTTATTATTGAAATTACGAAATAATTCTGGTACAAAACTTGCAGAAACACCCTTAAATTTTAATGAATGTAATAAAAACAAAAGAAAGCATTTATCACTTGAAAATATTCAACATAATTCATTGATAATACATTTTGGAAACAATGAATTTATCCACTTTCCGATATAACTTTAACTATTTATGGTTAACACTTTTAATCTTTATCTCTTTTGTGTCCATATAAAAAATTTACACTGAATTCACACTACTTATTTATTAATGATGAGAAAGGAATACAATATTTTTGAAATGACAAATCCAAAATTGTTTATTCAACTTTCGAGTACAACTTATTGTTTTTATCCTCTAAGTAAGGATTTTATAGGAATATATATATTAGTTGTGCCATTTGAATTCTGTTTAGTATGGTCAGCAAATTACCAGTTCAAGTATCTTAGTCTTTCTTATATTTTACCAAATCAGCTGAACTCCCGTAACAATAAATAATTATGTGATATTTATTTATTTATGAAGTTGTACAAGAAAATGAATACCACGTTTGTCTAATCAAATGGAATTCACTTAGTTTATTTTTGAACTAAAAATTGCGTAAGATTGTAAATCTATGAAATACTTCATAGGTGAATTTATTTCAGTGTATATAGACAATGACAAAATGCACTTCCGTTGTATATATACACAATTAATGTATATTCAAAGAGAGAGAGTTAACTTGAATTTATATGAATAACCAGAAATATGAGACAAAATATTTTTTTGGACATATTTAATTTTAACAAACAACTCTCCCATTTTAGAATTTCGGTGTTTACTTGAATAGTCAGTATACTTATGAAATAGTTGACCAAGTTAAAATTTAATTGTTTTTATTACTTCTCTTACTCGGGTTTCGTTGTCTAGACAATTTTTTAGATACCAAGATATGTAAAATTAATAATTAAATTATTATCATTGTTTATGCGAACTTTGAAATGAACTAGATGGTAATTTTATCACAGAAGCTCAATAAAAATACATGGTGATTTCGACCAAACAAATCTTTGTATGTTTTTTTTAGTCCGTATCCTAACAACAAATTGTCGTAATCAAATTCATAAGTTTTTTAGTATGATACTAAAAAAAACTGAACATTAAGTGTAGCTAAACACAATTTTGTTCCATATTCTTTTCATTGAACTAGAAAATTATGGAAACTGTTCCGTTAAATATAATTATTTCTAAATACTAATACAAGTTATATTTTATGTTATTCATGAAGTCTTAATAAAGTTTTAAACTAATGAAGCAGCTGTTTATTATTTTTGATCGTTCTAAAATACATTCTATTTCAAAATACAGATCTATAAACGAAGAATATTCTATACAATAAATTCTTTTCAGATTCTAAAATTATAATCTTCAAATCGATTATCCAATAAATGGTCAGGTTTAAGAAAAAATTCATTGTTTAAAATTATAACATGTTAATTTAGAATTGTTTGTAATAAATAATAAACTCGTTGGTATTAGGATAACTAATATGAATTGTGGGCCTGGATAAGTTTATACGTTGAATGAAATTGTAAGATAAATGATAATCACAATTCATATTGATTAACATGGAGTAAGAGGGATAATAATAGAATTACGTAATATGTAGAATAATACAAATTAGGTACGAATTACTAAATAGGGATGGATGCTAAGTAAATTTCTCAAAGCTTTTTCACTATCAATTTCTCTATATATTTAACCATTGAAATTGAAGTTTACGTTTATAGTACACTTTATTTCATCTAGTCAAATTATAGATCACTTTATTCATTTTGTTGTGGCTAGGTGATTTTTCCTTGGCTATAATCCTTTTCTAGCCTATTGACTTCATATTGGATTATTTATTTTATTCAATTTGTGTATTTAATATGAAAGAATACTAGTGATTGATGATGGACTGTTATGAATTCTGGCTATGCTATACTTCTTAAATCGAGAGCTCGTAAAATGTTCTAATCAAAATCCGGATTTATACTTCTCTGATCAGACCATACAAATCAGTTCGCAGACTAGATCCGTAAATTGACCAACAATGCGACTCGGCCAGTACGATTGACCTTGGTCATTAAAGAGATGGTCTGACGTTTATTGGCCCACCATAATGTACATCTGCTTCTATACACAGTATTGAGCCCGAACAAGAGAACATAGCAGGTAGCTTCTGTTTTCCTATATTTCAAACTCACAGGTTTATCTACATAAATGATACTTTGCACCTCATCAATCCATATAAGACAGAAGGCATGAAACAGAAGATGATTAATTAATTACTAATAATTAGTGAATAATAGAGCGTACACTAGTAGTTAATAGGCCCGATAGAAGTTCATGATACAGATAATATAAAAATTCAATAGTCTAGTTGCATAATAATTGTACAACAAGCATATTAAAAAAACTTTTCTAGTACTTGTTGCATTACAACAAAATCATTTTAGAATTCACTAAAAAATGTGTTTTCGGCATACTTGATCTTGTACCAATTACACTTTAACAATGTGTTATTCAAGTTAAAACAACTTAGTTATTTGTTGTGAAAAGCTCTATTGACGTGCTTGTTAACCTTGATCTAGCTTTATAAGATAAATTTTGTGTATGTATCAATGTAAAACTTACGGGAAAATTCTTATCAGGCTTACATTTTCTGAGTATAAACTAATAAAATGATCCAGAATTTAGCCTATTTCTACTAATATTTATCTCAGAAACGTTAGTTGTTTATTTTTGGGAGAATTCTAACATCAAACTTTTCCTTTATAATAGCTAATAGTGAGAGTTATTAATCATGCATATGGTTTAAAATGAGAATATTATTCAGTATTTATAAATCTTACCAACAAATTTCAGAAGTTGTAAGTGCTAAGATCACTTGTAGACTCTAGTCGGCACGATTTTACCTACTTTATTTAATAATAATTCAATTATCAGTATAGGGTTGTAGAGATTGCTGAGTTTCGCTGAAACTATGAATCGATCAATGTTAGACCATCGGTGAAAACCTGGAATCACTGGACAGATGTTTCGTCCTAGTATGGGACTCCTCGGTAGCGCCCGTCTGCGGCCCTGTTCACGGGAATCGAACCCAAGACCTTCTGTGTTGAGCAAAAACTCTAAGCCTCCAGACCTTTAGACCAGTGGAATTTGGTCGTGTTAGTTGCGAGGCAGTTACCCACCGAAGACAACGGAGGATGGCCACATAATATCGTGCATTGATTGAAGCTAGAGACCAGTGAACTGTCATTCAATAGCGTTAATGTCTGTGTTAAGTGTTCGCGCGCGAGACCGAAGGTCCTGGGCCCGAACCCTGCGTGCAGGATCGTAGATGCACACTCCTGAAGAGTCCCATACTGAGAAGAAACGCCCGTCCAGTGATTCCGTGCTCGTAATAATGGTCTAACATTGATCAGTTCATGATTTCAATGAAAATAATTTAATTTATTAATAGCTTTTAAAACCCATATGGATGGTTAAAGTAACAGAAATTAAATAATGAACTAGCCCATCTACTCAAAAGATTATCCAAGTCTTCGTTGACTTTTCAAATTATTTATAATTTAAACCAGTTTGCTTTAAGTCAATATCAAATAACTATTTCCAGATAAAGCATTTTAATTTATTTTCCTATAGAATTCATCAAAAATTTGAAAACTAACCATAGCAACTGGTATAAATATACAAATAAATAATCTCCCCAATGTTGAGTGGGTTACATAATCACCGTAACCAACAGTAGATAATGTTACTAAAAGAAAATAACAAGACTCGAAGTAACTCCATGTACCACGATGATTTTCATTCAACCAAAAATCTCCCAAATGTTCAATCTATCATTGATAACAGGAATGTAGACAGCACAAAATAAAAGAAGTTCTGTTTTCAATAAAATAACAATAAATTTGTATTATTAAGCAAACAGATCTATAAAATACGAAAAAAATATTATAAGTAGATACTTCTAGACTTTCCTGTTCAGTTACCTAGTAAATATTTTATAATCTGGCTTAGAACGGACTTAATTTTCATATCATTAAACAAAAATTAGCCAATAAGGTCTAAATATTAATGCACCATAGCAAGGCTGATGTTTCAAATTTACCTTGAGTGATAAATAGGTTAATATTCTGCCCTTCGACTAATGAAACGTTGGTGGTGACTCAATGATTTTTATTTGTTCAAACACACTTCGTCTTATAAACCATTTTTTTAAACAATAATGTCAGACTGATAATTTGAAACTGTTTACTACCGAATTACTGTTTTTTTCCAGACTTGTACTTTTTAGTACGTATGAAACACTTGCAACCTCACATAGATTTAATATTATAATGTTTAGATTTTATTATAAGCATATTATCAGATGATGTCATTCCAAGATGAAAATTATTATCGAATCGTTTATTTAACACAAATTACATGATTAAAAAATCCGGCACAACTATGTATCCACAGTCACAAAAACAAATGCTTTAGCAGGTTAATATGTATGTATCGAACTAGTGATGTTATTGGTCACGTATCCAGAGGCTGTTGACTTACATTCTTTATAGTTAATGGTTTACTTGTATATTTAGTGATTATCTACCTCGTAACTTCAAAAAAATATAATTTCCTATACTAGTACCACTTATTTGCATATGAGCCAGCCTCCCAATCAAAGTGTTTTCAGTCAGTTTAATTACCAAAAAAAAACCATTAGTCGTGACAAATCACAACATTTGTGGGTATACATTTATTCTTATGTTTGACTGATATATGTAGTTATAGAATATCAAGAGAAATTCACTGAAAGGAGTTATTAATATAAACTATTCTTGTTGTATACAGTCATGAGATATGCGCCGTACTCTTACCGGTGACGCCAGTAATGACGTGATGGAAAAAGAAGTCAACTTTTAAGTCCTGTTGAAGAAAGCTCATCAATGAAAAAATCCCCTTTAAACTGAGTGGGGAAGGGTTCAAAGAAAACAGTAAACAGCTCAAGGGGGTTCTAGGCCTACATATTCAGTGATAACTTTTCTCGTGTTCATGACTAGTGATCCAGTCACTCTCTTTAATCATCAGACTTAGCTCCTCAAGATCTTATTTCGTCCATAATATGTAAAATGACCATTCGTGTTTGAACTGTAATGATATGAATAAAATAAACTGTGTGACCATAAGGCAGCTGAATAGCCTTACTTCTAAAGAGTTCTGGGGATGCTTCTAATAAGGGTAACCGAAATGGTACAAGTGTACTGACACGAGTAGAGAGTAGCTGAAGTCAATAAGATCCATATACTGTAGATCTTACTAAATGAAGGCTATATGACCTTTGTTTCTGTATTTACTAGACGCACTAGTTGAAGTCGTTCACAATTCACAAGTAAGTTAGAGATCTGTTCTAAAAAATCTTAACGATTGTGAAGCCAAATCCAGCCACTTTTGTGTGATGGATGTATGCACTAACCTATCTCAGTAATGGACTGTTTTATCTGTTGTATCCGAAGAAGAAATAAAGGTAACTTTGAATTTTCAACATTATCCTCCTCCACGATACAACAATACCCTTGAAAAGAGTATTAGTAACGACTTCAACTAGGTCATTAAACAATATATGTTAAAATTTTATGGATATTAAAAATTTTCATGAAATTATAAATATTCATGATATTTTAATGTCTACATCAAATCCGATTTAAAACATTTATTTGTCATATTTACTATAAACTCAGAATTATTTGGTGGTGCTTAATAGTTAGAAGTGAAAAAAACATTCGTACAACTAACCACGTGCATTATCCCACTACCAACCATCCATATGGTGAACAATGTGAACACAATACGAGCTGACTGAATTCCTTGATTTGACGTTATCACACCCAAATAAGTGAGTGTATCAACATAATACAAAAAGCACATTGATCGAAGAAAATTCAAGTCTGAAATTAAGACGATAAATCAAAACTATTGAATCGGTAGATTATACTATTAATATTTATAAATTTTATCTAACGATATCATTATTTGTTAATGTTATTTTGTCATTTGATGCGAGATTAGGTTTAAAGAGTATATATAAATTCCATGAAAATCCATATAATATGGAAAGATCATGTTAAATATGTTTCTTTGATTAAAAATATTGTAGCTGGTTTCAGAGTTTTTGAGTCTTCCCTAAAAATAATACGATTCTATTCAAGTAGTTGAAGAACGTTGGTGATTTCAGTCAAATTTGTCTATAAGTTTCGCTTCATTGATTTTTATTTATTACAGTCGTTATAGGTTTACTATAAAAAAGACAAATTATAATGACCTATGTCGTTTTATCAAATTCATTCATGATCATTTATCGTTTGCTGCAGATGCTTGTAATTAATTGTTCTTTTCTCTCTGAACACTTTACTTCTACCTTCTACTTGACATTAATCAACAATAAAAACTGATTTTGAAGGGGCTTTTCTTCATTAATTAATATTATATTAAAAATGGTCAAAAATCTTAGTTTTCTTGGTTTTTTTTTAAAATCGTACATTGTGATGGTACTGCTTGACAATAAATTCAAAATCTACTGATTCTAATTTCAAAAGTTGGAGTTCGAGCAACAACTAACTTACAGAGACGTCTTTTCTTTTTATTTTGCAGCAATTTTGAATTGGTGTAAACGAAGCACTGGAAATGAAACTTCTGCTCTCAATATGCTTCATATATAATTTGGTACCCACCAGTCTGTTATAGTTCAGCATGGTTTTGGATAAACTATACATTGATTTGGTAATTGTTAATCACAGTATAACACTCACTTTAGTGTATTCTCATCACTCAATTATTCTAGTTTTCTTTAAAGTGGAATTATTAGATATTTGAAGAAGTCAAAGTGTAGTAAATGACACAAAATCAGTACAGCGATAATCAGAGTAAAATCACTGTTTAGCATAATAATTAATACTAATGATATTACACTCAAGCTGATATCCTAGCTTTATGTGATCTTTAAAAGATATGAAAAATTTTAAGATGTTTAGAAATATGAGACCACGAACGCTCCTTACTTTAACAATGTAAAATTCTATTTATTTGATTCAATCTACAAAAATATATCAAACCGAAAAGATCAATTGCTAAACACATGATTGGAAGTTAGTTTTAGTTTATTTAACAACTAACTTATAGTCTTAATTGGCATTTCGTTAGTTAGGTCATGTACTTTGTAGAATTAAATATGTCTAAGACATGTAATATCACATTCACTATTGATAAATAATGAAGATTAATTCAGTTCTTACTTTTTATCATGTCCTTATTTTTTGAAATTTTTAAATGAAGACGATATTTCGCTATTGTATATAACTTTTAACACTTTCAATGTAAGTAGGTCGAAATATGATCACTCAATTGTGGTTTTTGTGGAGATTTATTCAATAAGTATACTGTGTCCATCACAAACCAACACCAGCTGATGAAGGCAGTCAATATTTGCTAGCTCTTTGGCCTAGTTCGACATGTTCCAAGAACCTGCATCCACAAGACCACAGTGGAGCAAACGTAAAGGTTTCTGATTTTAAATAAGGATAAACTATTGCTATAGGACATGCTTTTAGTGTTTAATCAATCCTTCCTAATGACCCATAAATACAGAATACATAATGGACATTCTGAGGTACACAAATATTCTAGTTTTATTAGTTGTGGGATAATTTCACTAGAGGTTGTGTGGATAATAGCCGTGATTACTAACGAAGAGTTGATCAGTATATGCTTTATGATTCTCTTAGACCGACTATTGTATTATCAAGCTCTTTTATTTATTTCCTTAAAGATTACTGATTATATGGATATCATATAATCCCCAAAGCTGCACACTGCTTCATTACCACTTATTAAAAAGTCTGATTGTTAAGTCCTGCAAAATTTCTCCCTTGATCGAATACAAACTAAATCATATCACATTACTTATTGCTTATCTCAAGTATATTTTTTTCTACTTCATAGTAGATTATGAGTAAATTATATATCAAAAGCTATATTTATTATTGATAAGGTAGCCTGGTACCTTAATTAGGGTTAAAATGGGACTGTTAATCTAAATCTAAATCTGATAACAACCAATTTTAAAAGTAAAAAGAACTGAAGTTAAGCTTTTATGTGTTTAACTCGGAATACTAATTAGTATCAACAATCCTTTCTTCTTAATAGTTATCTGATTAAGAGCTATAATAAAGTATTACTGATGTTTACCTGATCTAAAACGTTCTTAGTGATAAGAATCCTTGAACACATCCTGACGTTTAACCTAGGTTTTTCAGAACATAGCTACCTATTGAAATCGTGGAACTTCTGCTTTTGTTCAATCATTTATGAAAGGTATTCAGTAACTATTGTCGGTCTTAGTTTTCAATGTTTTTCATTGTGTATAAAAAAACAAAAACGTAGACCAACAATACTTCAGTATAAACTACTAATTTATCATACAAGCAAACTTATTAGTACAGAAGGGTTGATGGTTGTACTCAAAGAGACAGAGAAAGCAAAAAATCTCGTCAGTAGATGTCGATCTTACCTGCTAGTCAGTTAAATAAATTTCAGAAGGTCGAACTTTAGAAGACATTTAACTGAGAAGAATCTAGAGGTTATCTCTCTAAACTAAGGACTTATGAAACTTCATGTACCTTTTCCCATAGTTCAAATAAAGCTTAATTTACTCAAATTATAAGGAGCTTGGTTGGTAAATCACCGTATAAATAAACTCAAAGTAACCAAAAAGACAACTCATTTTTATAAAATCTTCAAGAAAAGCTTCCTGCTAATATTGGTTTTGGGAAAAATATAAACACCAATATAATCCTCGCTGATGTTACGCCTATCTCTTGTATGAATGTAACTCTTAATCAACGTGGATTAAAGTACTAGACTAAGAACTCAATATCAAGACTAGTAATGACAACGTTTCAAGCAAGCTGAAACAAAAAGATAATTTTTTACAATTTAGATCAAACTGTGGATTTCTAAACAATTTATGTGGACATTTTATACTAGCGAAAGTTGATTTTAACATAACTGGAGTAACGTTGACCGTTAGTCAATATAACTAAAAGCTATATATACTTGTTATTCCCGAAAATTTAATGGATATAAAATTTTTATTAAAACCATTGTCTTCATTTACCGACATATTCACTTTCTTAAATTGGTCTTGAAACACAATATATATATATATATATATATATATATATATATATATATATATATATATATATATATTAGTTGTTATATATATGGATTTACTGATTGACATGAATCAATATATTAAATTGTTTGTAATAATATTTGATAACCTCGCTAGCCTGTGTTACTATAAAAATACCTAACAGTACTTTATTGTAAACATTAAGATAATGTACTTCACTAATCAGCATAATGCTTATGAGTCACTCGATCAATTTCAGTGTTACATTAATCAGTAAATCTGTTTCATGAATAATAATAGCGATAAATCAAGAAACGATGACTGGAAATTACGATTTTTCAATACATTCACTTACCAATATGACGATGTGTTTCAAAAACACTGCATAAAGCCGGTGGGATTGAAATTATATCGATCAGAGAAGAAAAACTGAGAACAAAACGAACCCGATCAGTAGCTGCACACAGCTAAATCAGATTAATTTGTTTTAGGAAAGTAAATAAATATTTTATTTAATTACAAATGTACACCACTCATATTATTACGAAATTTTCTAACAAAATGAGTTTTATTTGTAAAATACAAAAATTCATTTTCCCATAGCTGTTCTAATCTTTGCTTCATACTGAATAGTAAACAGTTTAACCACTGAAATAATTTGATTCTGTTGAATGGAATTAGGGTATATCGCCCCCTACTTCGAAGTACGTGACTTGTGACTCGAAGTTACAGTCCAGTTTTCTGGAGGTTGGGTTAGGTAACAAATAACCCGTTACTCCTTTCTAACTGTCTATAAAATATGCTAAAACAGATTGAATATGGTGAAACTAAATTCGAAGGACAATGTTTATATTTTCACAACGGATAAGTGATATGCCGGAAAAATCTACCGATTATGTGGTGTTTTATGAAAAATAGTAAGTGGCTGGTGTGACCACAGCCACCATCTACGTCCTCCTGTCAGTTTGGCAACCTATAAATATGAATAAATTTTATTCCGTTTCTAGCGTTAACGTTTTTCATCCAGCTTAAGTTTCTGTCTTTGCATTGCCAGTTTGCCAACCTCTAAGTACATGACCGTGATAACGTCGGATCACGGAACACAATAACCAGTTATCGTTTAATGCTGAAACAGTAAGTATAATGCTGCTTAACCAAAGTTTTGTTACGTTAGTTATCATAAGTTATCATGGTAGATTGGCATGAACGATATAACGAAGAACAAATCGTTCATGATAATAAAAAAAATCATTTTCATAACCCAATCAAATTTCACACTATTGTCTTTTTCGCATAAAATGGAGCCGTTTAAATATCAAAAATGATAATTTCATAGGTTTGTTATTCACTTTATCGATTGGTAATGTCTTGTAACAAGCCCTTATCGTGCTATGAACAGATAAAATGTGCATCAAATGCATCATTGTATTTATATTAGTTATTTTACTGTAACTCTTAATTTATTATGTAAATATTTCCATGTATTTGGGGTGTCCATGTCGATCATTTATTTCCATCTGTTATCCTATTGATTGCGAATGCACTCATTGTTTTGTGACACACGTATACCTCATATTCACAGACGTGTACATTCTTTTCCTTTGGTTGGTCTGACTGTTATATTTTTGACCTGCTGAGCCAGTACACATAATAAGTCAACTGCAATCTAATTCTTATTTAGCTTACGAGTGTCACTAACGGAAATAAATGTAACTGTGCATCCGAGTTTAGGCTAAATAAAAATACGAACTGAACCAGTGCCATTTAATTTCGGAGTCAGAAGAAATAGTATGAACAAAATTACAACCTTATATAATACCCTTCATAAATGTACCTGTAAATATTTGGTGCACACTAGCAACATGAACTAGTAAATCACCCAGTATGCGAATGCCTTTCTTAAACTTAATCCAAATATCCACATTTCATTTACACAATATACACGAAAAATGCATTCGATACTTGGCTTAATTGTGGATCACTTTTATCATCTGTCTATAGCTCTATACGTAGTTTGGGACTCATCAGTCACTAGGATCCAAAACGCTAAGTTTCAATTCAGATTTCTACATCAAACCAGTCATGCATCACCGTCTTACGCTACAGTTGATTCTTGAAATGTAGTTTTGACTCCACAGTTAGGGAACAATCAATTACTTCAATAGGGTTGAATTTTTCAGGCTTAAAATCAAGAAACCTATTGATTGATACTGATAGGTCAAATGTGTGTTAGACAGAATAAAAGCATGGATACCATTAAAAAGGTTTTTTTATTTAGAATCTTAGATTATAAATATATTTTAAGGAACTGCGCATCGGAGGACAGTCGATACCGTCCGTTAAAAACTTTTCATTGTCTAGCAGTTTCAAAATGAAAGTTTACTTCTTGTTTGAATTACCGATATAATTAATCGGAAAGTTTTTCAATCAAGGTCTGTACGGCAGCTAACGATTTGTTTTTTACTGAACTATTTTCACTAAGATTGTAGATAATATGTAATTTTAGTTACTATTTATCTATCCGTTCACAAATAACAGACATGTAAATGATGTTGCATAAAATTGGGTGTGGGTCTAATGTGCCAGTAAGACATGTATATCGAAATAGGTTCGTAGAATTAGGAGCCTTATTCATAACCAATTTAGTTTGTAAAATTGAATAGGATCTCCAGTCATAGATTATTTTATTATTATTTACCTTTAAAATATAATAACCCAAGCAGAACAAATTGATACCGAAATTGATCCAACTGAGGATTTTCGAACGTAATGTATGACATATACCACGTATACTCACAGGAGGATTACTGAAATTAAAAATGAATTGTTTACACAAATCCTTTTAAAAGTTTGTAGTAAAACGGATATTAAATTTACACATTTTTGTTATTCAATGCAGTATATCGAATACATGATGTTTGCTCATCCTCTAGTTCTATCAGAAAATAACATTTTTTTACACACCGCTATTCTAAGATGACGAATCAACCTCTTTGCTTATTACTATGAGTATAACCACATTAAATTGAATGAAGAATTTATATGCAGCTGATTGTATTGGAGTATTTGGCTTAAATGCATACAGTAGCTAAGTATTTTTACAAATTTGGGTTGATAATCGATAAATGAGATAATGAATAACCAATTCATGATAGCACAATATGAACCCAATGCTCTCTAGGTTTCTCACTAAATTTTATTTTTATGTCTAAATGATCATTAGCCAATCAAATTTCTATATTCATAAAGTCTGTTTACTTTTTTTTTCACACAACCTAAATCAAGACTACACAATGGTGGGATTTTAGATTTTGAAATAAACATTATTCAAAGTAATGAATGATTAGTTAAAAATGGTTTTATTTACAGTTTATTTTCTGAAATAATCTTGATTTGCTCACATTTGACAATCTGATGATGTGTGTTAAGTTAATACTGTCAACTAACAAAATATTTTAATTAGTCAGAGTAAGTTAGCATCTTCATTATACATTGCCTACTCATTAATACAGTAGTTTCTTTTTCTATAATGTGAGTGATGATTAAAAATTCTTGACTGAGTTTTAGATCTCACTTTTAACTTACGAAAATATAAAAAATATATAAAATTCGAATCTTTTCAGAAGACCGTTTTTGAATGCTTTAGTATCGAAACTGGTAATGTGATCTTAAAAATAACTTCATTCAATGATATATGTTTGGTTAAACTAGGGTCACTTAGCACAAAATATTAAAAATTACACCAGGTGCCTTTTGTATGCATTTTTATTGCATAGATTTAAAGAATTTATTAGGAGCTGTTTTTTCAGTGATGATTAACAGCTAATTATATTTTCAAAGTTGCTTCACTGCATAAATTGCATCCCTAATAAAGTTTTACAGAACATTCTAAATGGGTTTTACATGAATGTTTTCTAACATTATTGTGTCACATTTCACGAAATAGTATACAAGAAAAAAGACTTTCATACTAATTTGATTCTATCACTTGAATTTTTTAGTATTTATCATCAAGATGGGTCATGTGTTCTACAAATGCGCTTGATTTTAAAATATTGTCGACAAACATGTTTGGTTGCTCAAAATGTGGTGTAAAAAAATGTAGTTCGGTATTTGTGTATTTGAAAATCAGGTAATGGAGAGATTCGGGTAAGCTGACTTGTCGTTCAGATAGTTCGTATTGTAAAATAAATCATTGTTTTTATGCAAGAGATCGAAGAGACATACGCCTCAATCTTAACATGATTTATGAAGTTGAAGTGAATGAACGTAAATATTGCGAGTATAGGGATCTGTGGAGAGCGTTTAATCTCCATGGATTACATCACGGACTTATGTCACGCCTATTAGATAGTGGGTGGTGAGCAATGACTAAGTCCATAGGAGTGCAGGTGGCACATATGAAATTTATTTTTTTCAAAGTCCTGTGACCTGTAATCAAATTCTCGGGAGTAATTATATGATTTAGTGAATTAGTTATGTCTGTTAGTCATAAATGGTTAATTCTATGGTAAATGTGCGTTTACAAAGTAAGTTATTATTGAATTGGTCTTAAACACCACTCTTTTTAATTTATAGAAATCTAGCTGTTAACCTGACTGTAAATAAATCATATAGAAGGTATATTCATACATCATTTTGATTTGTTTGAGGGTTAAATAAATTTATATCATCAATCTTTCTGTTCTTACTAAGTGTCTTTGGATTCTGGATTTTAATGTCAAGCACAAGTCGGTGAAGTATTCGGCAGACACATCAAAACGACAGACATAACAACTAGGAGTCCCATACGATGACGAAACAGCTGTTCAGTGCTTCCTGATTTCTAGTGGTTATTTAACCTAGATTAGCCCGTGAAGTAAACTATGTAAATACCTTTCCCAAAGCCATCGTAGTCAATTGAGAGAATAATTATAAAATTGCACAAACTTATTCACTTTTCTATCTAATATTTTCTATGTACTTTGCTCCTAACTTCTATAAAGACATTCATGATTGTGATATCAAGTCAACTAATTTTTCACGTGCAGATAATCATCGCTTACCATAATCAAGTTCATAAAAAAGTAATTTGGAGGCCATCCTAACCTGATAAATAATGGTGTACTCAACAAATTTATTCAGATTCGTTTCCTCAGCAAACAGTTTCAGAAGAAGTAATAGATCAATCGGGCTTTTTTTAATCTCTTACAGCAAATATTTTTCAAACAATCTTGGTAATCTTTTGTATAAATAATAATTGTTGAATCCAGTTCTTTTTAAATTATTTCAGGATCACAGCTTTATTTTGTTATATCATTTTCTACTCTTGTCAGTATTATGTTTCAGATCAAAATAATCAGAATGTTTGGTTGTATTTCTATCTTTATGAAGGTAGAAATTCGATTTATAAATACCTTATCCGGTAGCTCATAAAGCTGATCGTTATCAGAGGCACTTTACAGTGGGTGTAAGAAGAAACCACCAGTAGTTCAATGTGAGTCTACACAAAAATCACTTTGTTTATCACGAGGGCTATTCGAAGTTTGAATACTACTAATTATTTGCCTCTACAACGATCAGAAGAGTAACTTGATTTTCGAGAAAAAATTGGACAAAGTTTCGATCATGTACATCGAACGATAGATCAATTTATCTGTAATCAAAAGTTTATTGACTAATATTCACATTTTAAGTGGGCCATTTTTCGGTATTATGACTTCTGTTTTAAAACTGATAAATTCACAAACAAAATCAAATGTTTATGTATACATAATGTTCTACATTTTAAACTAACTTTCTATTTTCAACTACATAAAATAGCCAGGAGACCGTACTGAGAACAATATAGATAGTTAACTGAAAAAGTAAGAAGAAAATAGACACAATTCAAAATAACACTTTAGAAACTGACTAGTGTAAATAATTTTTATATAAAAAGTTAAATGTATGGAAAAAAGCATCTGATAATTTCTCAAATTACACATTTCTGCTTATAGTTGAACCTAATCAAAAAGAATAATTAGTGTCACTAAGAATCACTAGGATTGTTTTTGTTAGGTTGAAATATAAGTTTCATTGTTTCTGAATCAATTAACTGGCAATTGATGGATCATAAAGTTGGGTAATGGATTACACGTAAAAAGCATTTTTCGATAAAATGTATGAATAATCAACAACCTGTACAGTAATTTTACGATGAACAGTTTAATGAGGACAATGTTGACGAAGAACTGAACGAAACATATTATATAACCAATTTTGTACAATTAACTCAATAATTAAAAAACACACATTTGATGTATTAAGTATACGGTCTGAACTTCAACAAGTGTTTTTGTAAACAACATTAAAATTTAAGGTTAAAACTCTTTTGCAGCCACATTCATATAGATTCCATCCTAAATCTCTTAACGTCTCTAACTTAAATTTTATGAGACGTAAAACTTTGAGATTCATTCACTTTTCTGATTCGCAATCAATTATTTATGTAAGAAGTCAATGACATGTAATATAGTCCCGTTTTTTTAAAGTTGATATACGTACGAATAAATGCAGGTGAAGACAACCAGTGTATCAGCAGCCTCTGCACCAGTAGGCCTTAATCTACACAAGGGGAAAAGCAAGATCCTCAAATACAACACAGAACACCGCTCCAACCACACGTGATGGAGAAGCTCTGAAAGTGGTGGAAACTTTTAAGTACCTGGCCAGTAGCATCATCGATAAACAAGGAAGATTCGATGCAGGAAAAGACGCTGGAAGTCGGTAGGACACACAATGCGGAAATCATAAAACTGCATTACAAAGTAAGACCCAACTTGCAGTCATGAAGGCAAACGGAGAAGTAGAAGGCCAAAGAACACACTGTTCCGAGAATAGGAAGCAAGCACCAAAGAGCTCACAACAACTGGAAAAGATTACCCAGGATAGAGTTGGATGGAGAATGCTGGTGGGTGACCTATGCTCCTCCATGATGGATAGCAGGAGTAAGTCAGTTGATTTCAAATGAGTATGCAATGAATTATCCCACTTTTATATCCGTTGAGAAGCACACTATATCACAAGTTTACAGAAGTGAAGAGTGGAACGATTGAATTTTGCGAGAATGGTTCTAATGTTTAGTACCCTCCAAGAGATTTGAAAACTTTGGTTTGATCTGTTTTCGAGTGATTTCTCAGAACTCCTTGAATTTTGATTACCTATAAGTTGGTATTAGTTTTTCATCGAAATACTTTCCAACCTCATTATATTTTTTGATTTATCTATGCAACAAAACAAAGGCAGAGTGAATGAAATGTTGGGAAATGGGGTAAATTTTACAGGGTAACTGAACGACTTGGCATCGTACACAAAACCATTTGTTCATGATTCGCTTCCAATATTCCTACTGCAATATGTCTTTGTATATTTTTTCCAAAGTCATATGTTAGGGGAACTTCTCCAATTACTCTCAATTTTGGCTAAACAGAAATTAAATACTAGTATGTTAGAAACGGAACTTTTATACAATCTGAAAGTAACACATATCTGAGTAGCAGTTCAGTGTAATTTATTTAGTTTATTAATAAGGTTGACCTCGTTTACAACTAGGTAACTGATACTACCAGTTAGAAGAAATGAAACTTGTAGAAGTTCTATGAGTAGTTACAGACTGGATTTAGAAAGGTAAGAAATACCAACGTTTAAATACACCATAAGGCATATATCATTCTGAAAGTGTTTCAGTTCAACATATATAGTGAAGTCTAACTATTCTAAGTATTTTTGTATCAATTTTTTAAAATGTTCTCAATGAATTAACCTGAAGTTCTGTTGACTTGAGAGTTATGAAATCTAAGCGGATGCAAAACTTTCTCTGCTTCATTCAATAATCATATATAACTTACTATTGTACTACCAGTCTTATTTGAATTTCACTCGTTAACTTCCCAGTTGATTAGTTAATTTTCATACTAATCTAATAATCTACGTTTTCCAAATCAATGGCTTTGGGTTGAAATTTAAACAAGGCATTTTATCAATGATACAAACATACTGTCCATTTTACGCTACAATCAGTTATGTTAATCTAAAATATTCCAGTATCTGTTGTTTTGGGCTGTATATTGTTTATCATATACTTGAGAGAATAGTTTTGAATTCATTATGTATTCTTTCAGTGTTAATGAAAAAAAGAGTGTAAAAGGTTTTAGATAAGCTTTATTTTCATCATTTATGTACATCATCCACTAAATATCATCATATTGATATCTCTTATAAGTAAAAACATCACCTTCATCTCAGTGTTAAAATAAATGCAATATTATTTTAATGATAAAAGTAGTTTAGGGTTGCATTTGTTTTAATCATGAAAATGAAGTCATTATCGAAACATAAATACCACTGGGAAGTAATAAGCTATATTGTACCTTGTCAAATCACGTTATTATTATTACTATTATTATTATTGCGTTCTCTTAATTAGTAAATATTACTGAACCATTTTAGTGTCAATCAAACAAAGTGAATGATGAATAGTAAATAAATATCTGTAACTGAAAAATTTCGTTGATTTCATTTCCAACATACACTGAACTTTTGCGATCACTTATTGACAGAATAAAAATACAGTTTTTTTTCTTTTACGTTAGACGATCTTCATAAACTGGTTAATTTTAATAATGCTTAAGACAAATTGCTCTTCACTGGATTGAAATTTTCATCTCGTTTATCAAAATATGAATAAAAAAAAATTAAAAAGAATAGTTCGGGTATTTTCCAAAAAAGTTCATCTCATCTTATATACATTACCAGGAGACTGAATGTAACATCCTACAAACCAATTTCTCGCTGTATAAGTTTAAACTACTTTAAGAAACAGATTGTTCATTTGGAATGCTATGGGCAACTTTCATATATAACTGTCAAACATTTATCCATAAGTGAGATACCAGTGTAACTGTAAAATATAGCCGAAACCGAAAGACTGATAAAATAATATAACGAATCTTTTGCAATTGATAAGCCACTGCGTGCTTAGACAACACAAACTAGGAATATACTGATAAAATGCAAATAATCTAAAAGCTGTAGAACATTTCTACATAGTTTATAAGTCTTGTGTCCGAAGAAGACTAAATTAGGAGCAACTTTTGAGGAACTATATATATATTCTTATTGTATAACTATTCAGTAACTAGATTATATATATATATATATATATATATTCATCTTTCTCTTATTTTAAACTTTCACTTGACTTATTGGCTACTTTTGTGCGATTTGCTATTCTTAAGTTATTCCCAATCTATTAGTTACTGTCCCTCACACTCACAACCACTTTTGGCTTGATCTTGTATAATAATTATTTCTTATTTTATGGTGTGATGCGGTCTGGTCTGCTTGTGTATAAACCAAGTATGTCTGAAATATACGATTCGTACAGTGGAAGCTGAGACTGTGTTCTGGACTCAAACGAGAGGGGTTAGGCGAGAAGAACCAATAAGAACTCAGAGTTGACTCTAGACTACTCGTACTGGTTAACGCATCGTTAGTTTGGCACAGGACTAAGATCGTATAAGTCGGTGTTCTGATTGGCGATCTTGTTATGCTATATTTTGGTGGGGCTTAGGATATAACAATGAGTTGTTCACAGTTTATAATCGCTGTTTTATTCATTAAAACCCGCATAATTTATGGGCAACTACGTACATCTCTGTTCTTTGTGTGAATATTCGCTAATGAATGATCGATTGCATAGTTGATAATACGAACCATTCACTATTGATTTAGTTGGATAGGATTAATAATTATATTATTTGTAAAAACTGCATAATAAACTTTATATCACAAATGAAAAGTGTTTTGAATATTTTGTAATGAGTAACCTCTCTGAAATTTTCGATTAGGTGATAGGCAGCGATCTTTTGGAATACTTCACTAAAATCTAAAAGCTACTATCTCTAACCCATTTTACAAAGATATATTTTCATTACCTTGAGGATAATCGTGATCCAGTAATTATAGTTTTTATTCTTATCGATCCTTTCATCCTAATTAAGGGTTATTGTGAATGATTCTGTCGATAATCTCATGGTTTCAAATGGATATAAATCCTGGACTCTATGATAGCATTTATAAATCTACGGATCTATTTTAAGAATAGTTTAATTATCCCGCTAACTCTGCAACTAAGTGACTTCAAAATAACTAGCTCCTATGTGCATAAACTGTGTTATAAACTGACGATAATTTCTGCCCACATTATAAGAAATTTCTATACCTATTATGCTATCTATTTTACTTCTAACTACAAAAATAGAGTTGTGTTAATATTTTCATTGGCTTACCTTAGTTTACCTATAGATGAATAGCTGAATGAATGAAATTTCTGTATAATAAGGTAAAGCTGCAAATAAATGATATAGTAGATAGTTGCATCTTGTAACCTTCATAGTCCCTTAAAACCTCTAGTATATAACAAAAATCCCTAATCTTAAAATATATTAAAGAGGATTTTCGAATTTGACTTTAATTGTCATAGCATACTGATCAATCATTGAAATTCAAACCTCTCTGAACGCATTTTTCGCCATGGTTTAAAACGTTTCAGGAACAAGCACTAGAGATAGGTTTTGAAACAGATTCTCAAAGTTCTAGTGAGAAACCAAGACCTGTATCAAAATACTCTCATCTCTGATCGCACTGCATCATGTCAACGTTATACTAAGAATTGGATGAAGTTTTAAATGATGCTAAATCGTATACGAACGCCATAATAGAGTTTATAATTCGATAAAAGTAGATATTTAGTACTCAGCCATTGATGAAATGTCAATGGACAATCCCAATTATTAACTTGTTTATTTATTTCCCAG